ACAAGGCCAAACACAAAGCTGGGGAGAACCCAGTAGCCAATGAGCAGGAGACTTCTGTTCTCTTTCTTTCTGTTCTGTTTGCTTTCCCCCACCCTTGGCCAAAGGAATTCTTTTCAGTTGATATGTCTTTATGTTAGTCTAAGGAATTGAGAAGGGACCAGATTGACCCAAATGGAGGTTGGAGGGGGAGAGGATTTCCTTGATCCACTGGAAGCCCCATAGGATATAAGAAGTCAGTGGTTTACCCTAGTCCTGCCTGGGCATTAAATAAAGTCTTCAGTCTCCTGACATGAGCACATCTGTATGCAGAAGAGAGTAGCACATATAGGCACATCGAGTCCAGAGTCCAGTGGAATAGGCAAGCACCTCTGGATCCAGAGGACTGTGAGGGGGGGCCGGACCACACACGGTGAAATCTTTGCCGGGGTCATCGTTGATGCCATTTCCATAGTTGCCACCAGAGGGAGAAAGCAAGAAGACTTTGGGAAGCTGCCCTTGTGCCTGCCCAGCCCCAGCCCAGCCCCTTCCAGGCAAGTCCCACCCCACCCCATTTAAACCCCACCCCACCTCTGCCTCAGTAGCTATATAGCCTCCTGAAATTGTTGTTCAATTGTTTCAGTCACCTCTGACTCTTTGTGACCCCATTTGGGCTTTTCTTGGCAAAGGTACTGGAGTGATTTGCCCTTTCCTTCTCCAGCTCATTTTACAGAAGAGAAAACCGAGGCAAACAGGGTTAAGGGACTAGCCCAGGGTCACACAGCTAGTAAATGTCTGAGGTCCGATTTGAAGTCAGAAAGATGAGTCTACCACACCTAGCTGCCCAGCCCCCTGAAGACAGGGTGTGTAAAGTTCCGATTTCCTTCCTGCTTTGGCAGGTGGCTATCCAAGTTGGGGGGGGGGGGGGAGTTCCCCAGGCCACAATCCAAGGTGGATCTGGCTGGGAGTCTCTGACTCCAGACAGATGGACCCCTCCCACCCAGAATCTGCACCTGGCCACATTGCTTACCTCAGAAATGCCAGGAAATTTGGCCACCCATGCAGCCTCACTTACTCTGTTCCCACTGCCTATACCCTAAACTTCTCTACACACACAGATTCACACAGACACCTACTCACAGACACTTGCTCCCACATTCTCATGAAATCACACATCCATTCATCCTCTTGCTCTTTCCACTGCCATGACGCCAATCAGAAGTAGCATCAGTCACAGTCACTCCTGTCCTCACCACTCTGTAACTGCGGCAGAAAATGGTACTTCACCTTTGCCCTGGTTTCCCAAGTTCACCGAACCGGCTAATTCATCCCTGAAACCTCAAGGAGAGAGGGCCAGACCATAACCCAAGCGACCAGCTCGATGGTCTGTGACAGCTACAGACTGGGGCATTCTTATGCAGGTGTGGGGGATACAGCGTGCCTTCAAGCTCTCCCACTCCATCCATTATGCCAGTGTCTATCAAGAGAGAAGAAGCTTCTTCCCTGAACTTTTTTTTTTTAAATGAAACATTCCTAACTGAACTAAGTGAGGTGTGTGGTCCTCTAGAGCCGAGGGAGAGAGGAAATTACCTTGAGGAAAACTTGTCATCTGCTGCCCAGGTCAAGCTTCATCCATCTTCCTCATCACTCTCTGTCTCCCTTCCTACCCCAAATGCCCCCTTCTGGACCAGGCCCAGCTCCCTCCACCCCAAGGATAAAAACACTTACTAGGAGTTCTCAGAGCTCGAAGAAGCAATGATGTTTTCTGTGCCTGGGACACCGACAGACAGGACAGGGCGCTGGCTGAGCTGGGGGGTTTAAAAGGTTGGTGGTGGCCCAATGATGTCAATCCTCTCCCCTCCCCCCTTCCAACCTCCACCCCCAGACAGCCCGCCCCTTAGTTCTCTCCCCGCTAGGAGAAAACCAGCCCCTTCCCCACACCCCCAGTGACTCTCCACACAGGCTCCATATTTGGGGAAAGACACCAAGACAGAGCAATCTGCCGGGGGCTGCCGGAGACATTCCCTGCGTGCTTGAGAGATGGAGCTGGGAAGGGGCGGGGCCAGGGGTGATGACAGAGAGCCGGGAAAAGCCTTTTATAGACAGGACTCTACAGGCTTCCCCCGCTCTGGATGCTGGGGCTATCTCCCCCCATTCTGTCGACTGTTACCGCTGTCCCCATGGCATTGAGAGGGGGAGGGAGAAAAGAATCTGAGGGACAGCAAAGAGATTAGGGGTTAAGTGGGTTAACTTCTCCTAGGTCCTTGAGCAATGGTCAGCAAACCTCCAGAACTATCTCTTGACCCTGGGCTTTTTCGCTTCCGTTTTGGGAAAGAGGCTTAGAATCCGCTTGGGCTGAGGTGAGCAGACAAAGTCCCACGTGGAGGGCAGCTTAGGAATTAGGGTGGGTAGGTATAAGAGCCATCCCCATTCTCCTTTGGGAGCATTTGTGGAGATATCCCTTCCAAATGGGAAAAAAAAAAGGCTGGGGGCATGAAATTTAGGAGGTCCACAGCTGCTGAACTAGTCCTCTGCTCCTCCAGGATACTTGCCCTACCATCCTATCCAGAGTGAGAAGTGGGTGGTAAGGGGTCATCTGAGGTCCTCCCCAAGAGTTGCACCTATAACTCTCCCATCCACATATGCCCACTTCCTCATCCAGGATATAAAGGGAACTTGACTCCATAGAAAGATCCACCACCGTTTTGAGGTCCCAACTTTATTCTTGTCTCCAGAGTACTGGGAGGAAAGATAGGGTGTGATGTGAAACCTATCTGGTGGAAAGAGTTTCATCTATGGAATTCCACTATCCTCCCATGCAGCCCCCTTAGCTTCTTCTCCAGCACTAACTTCTCTCCAATAACCTTTCACTGGACCCTGGCCATGGGACTGTGAGGGGAATGAGTTCAGGCTCCCGGGCCTGGTGGAGCCCAAGAGATAGGTAGGTATTGGCAGTCCCCTTCAAAAAGCTCTCTTTTCCCTCCCAGCACCTCCTCCCTCGGGAGTCCGATGCCCGATTCATGCCAAACAACAGGAAGCGGCTGTGCCTGCCAAGCCAAAGTGGTGAGCACATCGAGCGACCCCAGGCGGTTACTGAGACTTCATGCTGGGGCAGGACATGAGGGGAATGGAGGCATGAGAGGACACAAGGGAGGGCAAGAAGAGCAGCATCTTGGAGGTGATTCGTCCTCCTCCCCCTTCCCTCTGTCTCAGAACCACAGATCTTAGTGATGAAGTCCAACTTCCTTAGAGTGTAAACTCCCTGAGGGCAAAGGTCTTCACTTTTTCCCATGGTATCCCTAGCACTTAACACAGTGCCTAGCACACACAGTAGGTGCTGGATAAATGCTGGTTGACTGCATATATGATAACCGAGGCTCACAGAGATGGGGATTCGAATACCATCACACAAGTGGCTCTCCTTCCCCTGGGGCTGACCACGCCACAGTCACGTGAGAAACTGGAAGTTATTGGATCGGAAGATTTACAGCTAGAAGTCCAACCCCCTCACTTTTACAGATGAGGACATTGAGGCCTAAAAGAGGTTAAGTGACTTGTCCATGGTCATACAGTTTAGTATGAAGCAGGATTCAAACTCAGGTTTTCCTGACCTCAGATCCAGGACTCCATCTACTAGGCCTCCCACCTGGTATTCTCCAGTGTTTCTTCACCTCATAGTCTCCATTTAACCTTTCCCATTTATTAAGACAGCCATTAAACCCTGACCTCGAAAATGTGTTCCTCCTCCTAACAAGCGCCCCCTTTCCCCTGCTGTCACCGGAGGGACCCAGCTGATACTGAACCAGGGGCATACCTTAGGTAGAGAACTTCCCAAGCCCCATAATGTCTATAAAGCAATCTACTAGCAGCACCAAGAGAGCCAAATGGATTTAGCCTCTTCTACTAAGCTGGGTGTATGCCCAGGAAAATGAAGGACTTAAGGGGAATATCATATTAGGGAAGGGTCACTGTTTTGGGGAGGGGGGATCTTTTTAAACCTTTGCCAGGGAAGGGACTTTTAAAACATCACTCAGAAGCACAAATTGGAGGGCATCCCAGGGAGGCCAGCCAGGATGATGAGAGGACTGGAGATCATACCATATCAGGATTGCTTGGGGAAACTAGTCACCAATAAAATTATGGAACCTTAAAGAACTGATGCTGGGTGTGTGGGTAAGGATTCACTTGTTCTACCTGGGAAGAACTAGGAGCATCAAATGTGAGAAGTTTGCAGACAGCTGGATTCCAGCTAATACTGCAAGGAAAAGCTTCCTAAAATTTAGACTGGCAGATTCTAGATCAAGAAAGAAAAAACTCCCTCAAAATGAGAGGAGGCCCAAGGTTGAATGAGCTAGCTGCCTTAGCAGGTAGAGGTTGCTCCAGGTGTTGCAGAAAGGATTCATGGGCAGGTAACAGTTAAGCTACAAGACCTCGGAGGTCCTCAGCACAGATTCTTTACCACTGGTGTGGGAGCTTGGGGGCTAAGGAGGAAGCTGAACAGAAAATCTAAAAAGAAATTAAAGAATTAAGAAAACTATTCTCCACCATCAACACTGGCCTATAAAAGAGCCTAGGAATCAGCTTGGAGGTAAGAATGACTAGGGATTGGGTACAACGACTATTTGTTGTTCAGTCGTGTCTGACTCTTTGTGACCTCTTTGGACTTTTCTTGGCAAAGATGCTGGAGCGGTTTGCCATTTCCTTCTCCAGCTCATTTTGCAGATGAGGAAACTGAAGCAAATAGAGTTAAGTAACAGCCCTTAAATGTCTGGGGCCAGATTTTGAATTCAGGTCTTCTTCATTCCAAGCCTGGCACTCTGTCCACTGCACCACTTAGCTGCCCGCAATGACTACAGAGCCCACTATCACACAGGTGGTTCTCCTTCCCCTGGAGCTGACCTTGTCTATGGTTTTCAAGTTGGCCTCTTCCTCCAATCCTGCCTCACCCTCCCTCCCTGTTCCTCTGGCTTATACTCTGCTTCGAACTAGATCCAGCCCTGGAAGGGAAAGCAAAAGAAGCCCAGTATGTGTATCTGGTCATTCCTTTAATTGAATGCAATCATTCATAGAAAACACAGATTCCACCATGATGTGGAAATAGACATAAAACAGTTATTTAAAAAAAAAATCAAGACCTCTATGACTCCCCTGGGAAAGTTGTAAGAAAAAAGTTGGGAATCCAGGAAAAAAAAAGTTCCTACACCCTGAGGCCTAGACCCTTTCCCCGTCTCATCTCTCTCTTGTCCCACAATGGCACCTAGATCAGGGAGGGCAGGTGGGAGACAGCCAAGGGCCAGCAGGAGGTGTTGACCCAGAGCTGAAGTGTGAGTTCCACAGACTCACTGTAAACTCCAAAGTGTGTGTGTATGGGGTGTGGTGTGGTATGGTGTGTGTGTGATATGGTGTGGTGTGTGTGTGGTGTGGTGTGTGTGTGTCTGTCTGTCTGCCTATGTGTCTTTATCCCCACAATCAAAAACCTGGATGAAGACAGGGCCACAACCTGGGAGCTAGGCCCCAAGTCCTACCTTGGAGGACAAGGGCAAGCATGTCCTTATCCTGACTGCCCTTAGACATAGGCACTGCAGGAGGCTGGAATGGGTTATGTTCTTTGCAACCCTCCTATCCCCTACCCCTGGTCTTGGGGACAAGCAATGGCACTGAGGGAATCTCCCCTAAGGTTTGGCAGGCACAAGGGCACCAGGGAACAGAAAGCAAAGGGAGGAAAGAAGAGGCAGCCTGGGACCTGTCCTCCACTAACCTCATCATGGGGAAGGACAGAGCTTTTCTTTAGCTATTCAGTTCCAAATGGCATAGGGCTACACAAAGGCAGCCCATAATCCAAGCTCTCTCTTCTTCATTAAAAAAAAAAAATTCCCCCAGAAAATCCCAACCCACATCAGCAACCATTCCCCATGGAGCAGGTCAGAGGGAAATTGCTATAAGGCCCAGACCTCTTTCTGGTTTTAGAATCAGACACCTGGCTTCTCAGTTCTCCCCTCCACCTCCTTTAACCAGGCAAATCCAGCTCTGGATAGCAGCTTAAAGGACCCTTACCTGGATTCAACACACACATTAAAAGAGCTGGGGCTGGACGGAAAATCAAGCTCTGGCCCTTACCCAGAACTGCAGCAGAAAGGAGGATTTGGGGCTCCCATACAGAGGGTTCCCCACAGGAGAAGGAGAGGAACCCTGGAAGAGAGTAGTACCATTCCTTCCCTTCCCCCATAGATGGCTCTTTGAGGGGCCCAAACACTGAGGAGGAAGAGCAAGTTTGGCCAAAGTTCAAATGGCAGGAGGCCACAGGCCCCTAGGTGGCCCAGCCCCCCTTTCCCCCAGGCAAAAGGCAGAGTCCAGCTACAGGGGGAACGTGACTGTCCCCCCATGAATGTCCCAATGCCATCCTAGGGAGCTAGGCAGAAAAACTGTTCCATGACTTTGAGGCACTGGGCACAAGATCCTGAATAGCCCTGCCCTAGGCCTAGCGAGGCCCCTTCGAGTGCCAAGGCTTGAAGGCCAATGGGGCGGGGGAGGCAGCATCCACTAGAAGACATAGATCTTGTCCCGTTGTACAGTATCTAAATCATCATCCAGGGTCAGCAGCACCTGAAGAAAAAGAGAGGGAGGCTGGACTCTTTAGTCCCACATGAGGGTGGGGGTGGAGGGTACCCTCTATTTAATAGAAGAAAGGAGAACTTGGGCTCCACAGAAAAGCTACATCCCCAGCCTCCCTCTTCCTGGTCCTCATTACAGCTTCATGATAATCTTATACACATTACTATGATCCATTTTACAGATGAGGACACTGTAAGAAGTCAAGTAGCAGACCCAGACCTGGTAAATGGCAGAAGGGGGATTCAAACCTACTGTCTTCAGACTCTTAAGGACAGCTCTTTGCACCAACTCTCTTCCCTTGATGGCCCTTACCCCATCCCACTTTGTGCCCAACCTGTGGGATAAGGATAAGTAACACCATCCTTACCAAGAAGGACCCAAACATGGCAATGGAGGAGAGGAAGTGCCAGATGTCATGGTCATCAAAGAAATTGAGCAGGATACAGTCACGATTGTGCTCCCTTGACTCAGCAGGGGTTTTCTAGGGAATAAGAATGGAGATGGGGAGGGTTACCTGCTGTCATCTGCCCACAACTCCCTAGGTAGGGATTATCTCCCACTTCCAGTTACCCAGGTTGGAAATCTCAAAACCACCTTCTTCCCCCTCATTTTCCATAGCCTATCATTCTACAAGTTTCACAGATTCTTCTTCCCACCCTGCACAACATTCCTTTGTGTATACATTTTCTATTTACTTCTCTGGGTACATGCTGTTTTCCCCCCAGGAGAATGCTTGCCCATTGGCTTCTGTCATCTTTATTTGTGTATATGCCTAGTGCTCCTTAGTTCAGTCTGTGGTTTCCTTGGTATAGGGAACTACACTGATCAATGAAGATAACAGCTAGTTTTGTTCTGCACCTTAAAGTCAGAGTTGCCTGGAGCACTGAGAGATGGTGACCGGCCCAAAGGGGCAAAGGCAATGTATAGGTAGGACATGAGCCCAAGGCTTCAGAAGGTCAGGTCTCTGTCCTCTCTGCCATGACGTATCTTGCCCAGAATACAGTTAGATCAAAGACTCAAACCTGGAAGGATCTTTAGGGGTCATAGAATATGGCCCTCTCATTTTACTTACAGATGAAGAAACTGAGGTCCAAAGAGATTAAGTGGCTTGCCCAGTGTTATACAGCTAGTATCTGAGGCAGGATTTGAACCCAAGTCTTCCTGACTCCAAGTTCAGTACTCCCTCCATTATACCATGATGCCCCTTATCAATCAATGAATCAACACGTATTTACTAAACTCCTACTATGTACCAGGCACTGTGCTAGGTACCTAGAATATAAAGAATGAAACAATCCTTCCTCACAGTAACTTTCATTATAATGGGACAGACAAGTACATATAAAAATATATACAGCATGAAATTGAGAAATACACACACAGTCACTAAATATAAAACAGCTTGGGAGGGAAGCCACTAACATTTAGGGAGAATCAGGAAAGGCTCCATGAAGAAGATAGTGCCTGAAATTCATCTTAAAGGAAGAGAGGCAGAGAGGAAGGAAGGAATTCCAGGAATGGAGAGGCCATCAATACAAAGGAACAGAGGTTGAAGATGGAGTGCCATGAATGAAGAACAGAGAGAGGCCAGTGCTCCTGGACTGCAGAGTACAGGAGAGGGAAGTAATGTCCATTGGACATTGGAAAGATTGGTCGAGGCCAAGTTGTATAGAGCTTTAACCCTAAACAGAAGAGTTTACATTTTATCCAAGAGGTAATAAATAGGAAGCCACTGAAATTGGCTGAGTAGAGAAGGCACATGGTTAGACTGGTGCTTAGATTGGAGACAGCTAGGTGGCACAGTGGATAGAGCACCAGCCCTGAAGTCAGGAGGACCTGAGTTCAAATCCAGCCTCAGACCGAACACTTGACACTTACTACCTGTGTGACCCTGGGCAAGTCACTTAACCCCAACTGCCTAAGCAAAAAAAAAAAAAAAAAAAAAAAAGGCTTTGGCAACAGTATGGAGTATGGACTGGAGGAGTGAAAGACTTGAAGGAGACCAATAAGAGGACTGTCGAAATAACTTTTGATGAGAGGTGATGAGGGCCTAAACTAAAGGGAACATTTAGGGGGAAAGATAATGAGTTCAGATTTAGAAATGCTGAGTTTAAGATGTCTTCTAGGACATCAAGGACTGTGAAATGTCCAACAGGCAACTGATGATAAAAGACTGAACCTCAAGGGGGAGATGAGAGTTAGATATACAGATCTGGAAGTCATCTGCATGGAGGTGATAATACAATGGGTATAGAGGGAGAAAGGGGGCCAGGACAGAACCTTGGGTATTCTGTCACCTACTGGTAGGGTATAAGTTATGCATAATGAGTCAGCAAAGGCAAATGAGGGGTGATCAGACTGGTGACAGGAAAATCAGGAGACAGTATCATCATGAAAACCCAGAGATAATAAGAGGAGAAGGGCTCCTTAACGGTGTCAAGTGCAGCACAGAGCTCAAAAGGGATTAGGACTAAGAAAAGACCATCAGATTTAGCACAGAAGGTAGCACTAGTAACTTACAGCTGACTGATTTAAGTTCAGAAACCACGCTGAAATGTGAGTGGGAACACAAGTGGAGGCAGAAAGTGTGGACAGCTTTTTCAAGAAGTTTGGCTGAGAAAGGGAGGAGAGATGCAGGGCAATAGTTTGAGGAAATGGTAGGATCTAGGGAAGGTTTTTTTTTTTAATGGATGGAGGAGACCTGGACATGTTTGAAGGCAGTGGTTACCAAGAAGAGGTAGAAGACTTGAGATAAGGAGATGATTAAGGATTCAACTGGTGGAAAAGACAGGAGGGGATGGGATCAGGAAATCAGCACACTACATAGTTTGAGAAATGTTTGGGTTACATTGAACCTTTTCTCAGTGCCTCTTTCCCATTCTGAATAAGGTAAAAAAGATAAATTATGCATAGGTCTTGCCCTCAGGGAGCCTAAGATAGTAGATAAGAAATGCATATAAATATCATAAAAGATAGAAGAAAAGCGCTCACTCGACCTCCTTTGCTTGAAATAACACTTCTCTTCCTCTTTGAATATTTATTTTCCCCCAAAACTTTTAGGAATAAGCATGTTCCACTACTCTTATGAAGGCTTCCTTTAACATTCTAGCCCCCCAAAATTTCTCCCTCCTCTGAGCTCCTCTGATTCTGAAATGTCCATCCCTGACATTTGCCCTTAACATATATTACCTTTAATTATTAGATCTTTTCTAATTGAGTCCCATTTTCTCTAGTTAGCTCCAGTTACCCTGAGGGTAGTGACCATATCTTGTCCCCCACATTCATTCATTCAATTATTCAACAAGTTTAACATATATATATATATATAAATATTGGGGGTGGGGACAGGACTACCAACTAGACAAATCAGGAAAGGCCTTGGGTAAGAGTTGGAACTCGAAGGAAGTCAGGGATTCTAAGTGGTAACAGTGAGGTGGAGACCATTCCAGGCACAGAGAAGAGTCTTGGGCAAAGGTTTCAGAACAGAAGATAGAAAACCGTATACAGGAAGTAGCAAACGGGTCCGAGTTTGGCTGGAGTAGAACAGTGTTAGGCACATAGTAAACACTCTGTGATACTGAGAATTATAGAACTGTAGACTTTTAGAACTAGAAGAGATCTCAGGATTTAGCTCGTCCAACCCCTTCATTTTATAGAGTCCTAGACTCAGGAAAACCCGAGTTCAAATCTTTCCTCAGACCTTTATTAGCTGTGTGACCCTGGACAAGTTACTTAACCACTCGGCCTCAGTTTCCTCACCCGTAAAATGAGAATAATAAAGATCAAAAGAGATAATAAATGTGATACACTTTGCAAACATTAAATTGCTATAAATGCTGCTTACTATTATTGTTTACTATTACAGACACGTATTGTGTAGCTATAGATACATTAATATAGATATGGATGAGAAAAGACTGAGAAGTAGAAGGTCTTGATTAAGGTTATAAAACTAGTCAAAGACATAGCAAGCACTGCAGCCTCGGTCTTGTGACCTACTCCCCTCCTCCTATCCCTTGGTCAGGCATTCATTCACTTACCTGCCAGGTACTGAGTCCCTGGAAGAAGAAGAAAAGGGCAAAGCCCCAGACCACAGAGGTACAGATGATACAGAGGAGAGGGATAAATTTGATCCTCTCCCCACTCCGGAGCTGAAGAGAGAAGCAATGGGAAGGGAGTTAAGAGCAGTGCCTGCCTGGGCACCCAGGAGTCTGTTGGGGCCCTGAACATTGGGCCCTTTTCCAGAGTCTCTGTTCTTTGTACTCCTCCCACTGAGCTTTCATTTAATGGAGACTTTCTCCACATGTGGCAAAACCTGGCCCCTTCCTGTCCTTTTATTTTACAACTCAGTTCAACATCTTACCTTCTCCAGAAAAAGTCTTTCAAGTTCTGGGACCAACAGAGAGTCAACTCATTCTGCCTCATGTACCCATGCCATATGTCAATGGTATCCCCCATTTCCAACACTGGCCCCCATCTTCCCATTAGATGACAGTGAGTTTCCCAAAGACTGGCACCACAGCTAATGAGAACCCTTCAACATCATCAGTACTTAATTAAGATCCTGAAACTCTTTCCACCCCACCTCTCACCCCTAGGCATTTAATGAGATGGGAGTTCCTCTAGGTAAGCTAGACTCCTGCCTACGGCCAGGTCCTGCAAGCTTCCAGAGGGAACTAAGCTCATAGTACTGGGACTCACTGATCTCTTCCTCTAAACTCCTACGACAATAACTGTTTGTACCATTTACTTGGCACTTAGCATAGATTGTCTTAACCTTAGGTATTCCATAAATGTTAAGCCATGGTCCATGAGGCCAGAAGTCCTTATAGGTCAGGGATCTTTTCTTAGCTTTCTGCTCTAACTTGCAACTGAACCTGCTGCAATTATGGGCACAGAGGAATAAAAATGATACTGGGAAGAATTGGCATACAAGTGACACCAACCTCTCCCCTTCTTTCCCACCCCTGCTGCATTTCCTCAGTGACCAGCCCAGGGTCTGCAATCCTGGTCCACTTTTATGTCAAAGTATCAAGGGATGAACAAAAGTTAGGAGGGAGGAAACTCCTTACTCCCTCATCCCTCCCACCCCCTGCTTACCTTCATGATGATATAGAAAGCAAAGTAAAGAAGAAGGTTGCAGATGCCAATGGCCAGCAGGTAGGAAGCAAAATCATTGGGACGCATGATAAGCCCATAGGCAGCACTGCAGGGATGAAAAGGGACTGAGAAAGCAGGGCTCCATGGCCAGCCCCCTTCCTCCACCACACACAGATCCAGGCACTCAAATGTCTGTGGTCTCCTTAGAATGCAGGGCTGAGGCAGGGCAACTGCTCAAATTCCACGACTGATCCCCTCAGAACAGAAGGCAGCCTGGGGGATTTCAGAATGTCTAGTACCCATCCACTTACGGAAGGGGAAGGAGACTCCCTCTGTCCTTACCATGCCCTTCTCCCCTCAAACCCAGGGCAGAGGGAACACAGCACCCAGGATGGCGCAAGGGACCTTCCATTACTCCCCTAAAGGGTCAAGGGAATAGGGAGGGGAGAAGAGAGGTCTTGGGCTAAGTGCCACCCCACCCCACCCCACCCAGAGCCCCTGCCCGGCTGCCACCTGCCCAGGCCCCTGCAGCTGCATATCTGAACTCACAGTGACCAGTTGATGATGTTGCCCATAACCAGTAGCACCATTCGGTCCTAGAAAGAAGTAAACCCCAGGGACAATGAGACAGAGATAGGGTTTAGGTGGTTTAGTAGCTAAAGAGACTGCTTGAGTCTGAATCCTGACTCAGACATTAGTCGTGTGACCCTGAACAAGTCATTTAAGCTCACTCAACCTCAGTTTCCTCATCTGTAAAATGAGGGTAATAATAGCAATTACCTGACAGAGTGATTGTAGGGATCAAATAAGATAAAATATTTAAAAGCGTTTTGCAAACCTTAAAGCATTATACAGGCTGACTTAAAACTCCTGGTGCAGTTTAAAGCTTTTTAAAATAAGGTCTATTAAAGCTTAAAACGGTGCTAAGACTTTCAGGACACCCTATATAAATGTTAGCTATGGTAACTGTACAATAATAATATTAATAATAACAACAAGGGGCAGCTAGGTGGCGCAGTGGATAAAGCACCAGCCCTGGATTCAGGATGACCCGAGTTCAAATCCGTCCTCAGACACATAACACTTACTAGCTATGTGACCCTGGGCAAGTCGCTTAACCCCATTGCCTAGCCAAAACACAACAACAACAACAAAAGCCAAAAAACAAACAAACAAAAATAATAATAATAACAACAACAACACGGATGGCTAGAGAGAGGCGAAATAAGGAAACAGGAAATAAGAGGGCCCCAACTATCCAATGCTTACAGGTGCCCCCTATCCCTTATGCCCTCAAGAAAGCGGCAGACATAACAGAAGAAAAGAGAGTGGAGCTTGGGCACATACCACATACAGGGGTCCACTACACTGCCGGATGCAGTCTGTGTAGACCACATGAAGAATCCGGCGGAAGATCCCAGAATCTGCAAGAAGGGACAACATTGAAGGCGATAAGTTGGAGGCCACAGGGAGGCATCCCTCCTCATACTAAAAGCCTATAACCTAAGTTCACAGGTAGGAGCTCTAGCAGGCCCAGCCCACGTTAAAGCCATCTGTGGCTCCCCGAGCAGCGGGGGCTAGGAGGCACAATAACGATTCACATTTATATAGTGCTCTGAGAGACAGCGTAGTATGGTGGATCGAGAGCCCACCTTGGTGTCAGGAGAACCTGCTTTCAAGTCCTGCCTTTGGCACATACAGGCCATGCGACTCTGGCTGGACAAGTCACTTAAACCTCTTAATAGCCCAGGTGACTCTCTAAGGCTGTAAGCTGCAAAAAACAGTTGCTGGTCTGCACTGATAGTTTCCTTACAAGGAATGCTCTACTATATATGTAATATTAATATAGCATAATATGTATAAAATAGAAAAAGAACAGGCACTAGCTTTAAGGTTTCCAGTCGCAAACACCCAAAGACAAAGAAAGAGAAGGATCCAGATAAAAGCCTGAGATCTTTCTCTGTCTCCCTCTCTTTCTGTCTCTTTCTGTCTCACACCTTTCTTCATCCGCTCTTGTCTTTCACATTCTCTGCCCGGATGGACAATGTCTTACTATCATCAGAATTCTCACCCCAGGCAATTTCCTTACCTAGCTTCCAACGGCCCATATAGTAGAGTTGGGTACTGAGCAGGAGTGTAGCAATGATGTGAATGACGGAGAAGACGATCCAGAACACCATGTTCCCTTTCCCAAATACCTGATTTGGGGCAGGATGGGAGGAGGTGGGGAACAGAATGTGTATGCGTGAGACAGAGAAATAAAAGGGGGAAAAGGAGAGAAACACACAGAAAGAGAAGGGAGGGAGACAAAGAGAGAGAGAAGGAAGAAAGAGAAGGGAGGGAGAGACAGACAGGGAGAGAAGAGTATATGAGCAAAGGACAGAGGGAAAAGTCTACATCCCAGATTCCTCAGGGTACCTGCCAGTATGGGGCTAATGGGCCAGCCAGGAGAGCAATAATCATGTCTGAGCTGCCCCAAGAGAGGAGACTTAGGAGTGTTCTCACCTCCAGGGCTGGGAGAGAAATAGGGGAAGGAATCCGGTCTCCAGGGACAAGGGGCAGGAAGGGCAGTGGCATTCAAAGGGAGGGAGGGAGGGAGGCCAATTTAGGTAGGAGTGGGGGGAGGGGGGACACTCACCACCCCCAGCACAGAAAAGAAGATGACAACGGCAAGGCAGGCATAGGCGCTGTAGGCACTGGCATTGATGTCAGGGTGCCGCTTCTGATACAGTTTCAGCATGCACAGCCCCGCGATCATGTACATGAAAGACGTGTCTGCAGGAATAGCAAGTTTTAGACCTCCAAATCTGGGGGTCTGTCCACACCCACCGAACTTAGGCTGAGGTCTCCTTATTCCCTCTCTCCTTGAAAACCACCCACTTAGTAGTCATTGGGTAGGCAGGACCTTGGCGAAGTTCTACATACTCCTAAGGTTCCCTCCAGGAATTGTCTCCTCTTGGGTACCATTCAGAGTAGCAATTGTCTCTACCACCTAGTACCTGTGTTACCTTTAGAATATCACTTTACCTTGTCTGGGCCTCAGTTTCCTCATCTGTAAAATGAGGGGTTTGACTAGGTGATCTCCAAGGTCCCTAACAGCTCTAAATCCCAAGATCCTATGAGAAGGGAGAATAGTCTCTAACTAGGTCTGACTACTTATTCTCTGTACTTCAAGAGGATATCTAAGCTCTAATTCCCCTAAAAGGCTGAATCTTGGCGGCTCCTAAGGGATGGGGAGCTTGGTTTAAAAAAAAAAAGGCAGGACCAAAAGGGATACAGATATACAGGTAGGTTCTCTGGGAATGAAAAGGAGGCTTTACCAAACTGAAAATTTGTATAGTTGGGGCAAACATGGTAGCAGGCACTGAGCAGTCCCTCCATCATCAAGGCTGTACCCATAGCATAGAAAAGCCCAAAGTGCTTTGGAATTCCACATTCCTAGTCCAAAGAAAGAGTCCAGGATTAGTGTATGAACACAGAAACAGAAGAGAAACAGAGAAAGGAAGAGAAACAACAACACACATTTATTAATAGCCTACTACATGTGGAGAGTGCTGTGCTAGGCAATGGGAGGGTTAAATGGTCCCTGCCCTCCAAGAGCTTACAGTCTGATAGCGCTATCGGACACAAACACATGTAAAACAATATGGCGGCAGCATTACACAATAAGGACCTTAGCGAGTTTGAAGTCAGGGGTCTGAGGAGGATGAGGGAAGGCTGCACAGACAAGATCAAATCACTGATTTAAAAGATGAGTTGGTAAAGACAGTGACCTGAAAGAGAGGACTGTGGGAGAAGAGGGGCCACCAAGGCACAGAACGGTCAGAATGCAAACAGGTAACAGTCAAGGAGGAGTGCCATCTTTCATTAAGGGTAAGGGGGAGATCCCCAGGGTGATGCCAGGTAAAGAGCCAGAGAAGGCAAAAGGGAGGGGTCGGTTCTCACCAGGGCATAAAGGTCATTTCTCATGAGGGCTCGGTTGTAATTGATTTCTCTCTGCAGGATGATGAGGAGGAACAGTAGCCCCAGCAGGATATAGCCCAGGTTACTGAGGATATTGTTGAAAGCGCTGGGGCAGAAGGCAATAGGTGTTGCACAGAGGGGCTGCCTCAGCCTCCCCCGTCACACCCCACCCTCCAGCTTCTCCGGGGTTCCTGCCACCCCCTCCCCCCTCTGTCTGCCTCCCCAGGATCCCCCCTACCTGAGGTTGCCCAGGGGATGGGCACAGAGGAAGTTGTAGTAGCAGATGTCCTGATTCCCTGTGACATTCACCACCTGCAGCAGCCCCAGGGAGTAAGAAAAACAGGGAGGGATTGAGGATTGAGATTTAACTCAGGGTCTAGGTGACTCTAACTAAGGTAAAGGGATACCCTATCCCCCAATACACCAACATACGAATACCCTGTCAACCCTAGATATACACAGCTGTTGCTGTTTCCTTATTTGTGACTACCAGGGATTGTGTGTTTTCTCTCTCTCTGTGAGTACAGCTGAAAACCTGTGGGTTCTTTCTGTGAGCATGGTGTGATGCTGGCAGAATCACTAGTATGATTAGTGAGACCTCTACAAGTGGATGGATCAAATGAGGTAAGATTTTGTAAAGCATTTAGCACATATTAAGTACATAGTCAGTGCTTAATAAATGCTTATTCCCTCTTCCTCCCTTCCCCACTTCTGGAACTTGTGCCAAAAGGAGACTAGGGAAGCATCTGACAAAAGGACTCCCATCTTTCCAGTATAGCTGAGGAAGTCAAGAGGCCTAGGGTTTGGAGGGCAGGCAAATGCTGTCCCTCTTACCGTCTGGTAGGTGATCACCAACTGCACCACTGGGAGGGCATAGAAAACAGCAATGGTGGCAATGTTCCTGTATTCGGGGATGGATGGACAATGAATGAGAAAGACTGGAAGAGAACCATCCCCACCTCCAACACAAGTCCTTGCCCCTTCTCTGTGCCCCCTCCCAAAAAACAAAGAGGCACACATTCCACTCACCAGAAGTAAATCTGGTACTTCTTCCGTAGAACCCGTTTGTCCTTGCGGGCTAGGTCTGCTACACACAGGTATTGCTGAGGAGGAACAAGGAAAGATGACGGAAGGAACAGCTGGAGGTCAGCTGTACCCATGAACTTTTGGGAAGCTCTTGAGCGCGGTAAAGGGCAAGGATAAAACTGGGACCTTTAAATGTCTTTGACTGCCTTGCTCTTACCCATCTTCATGGATGGACCATTGCCCTTAAGTGTGTGTGTGGCTATCAAAGAGTTAACTGCAATCAGTATCAAGGTTAATACCTGCTCAACACTCCCCTCCCCAAAGCAGCCCCTCCAGCATCAAACTGAAGGCCTGGTAGGGACAGGCATACACTGGGGCTTAGGCTCTACCCCCTGCACAGGGGTCTCCCTCTAAGGATTCGAAGAATCTGTGAGATCTGCACCAGAGATGTCCAACGAGAGCAGCTTCAGACCTTGGTGCGGATGACGTTTTTGTCGGATTCAATGTCAGTCAGTGTATCATAGTCGTCCTCCTCCACAGAGCTCAGGGAGTCCAGCCGAGGCCGGCTGCCCACTGGTTCTAGGAGGGGAAGAAAGGTAAGAGAGTGCTAAGGCCTGTGGCAGGACCCCTGAAGTCTGACCCCTGCCCACCTGGGGCAATTGTAGAAATTACATAGTGGTAGAAGGGGTGAATGGGAGATTTAAGACAGGGAGACTGAAGTAAGCTCAGTGTCCAGCGAAACCTGTGTGTCCTATTTCCCTTTGGTACATGAGGGGTACATGAGAGTGAAAGGGGATGGACAAAGTCAGGCAGATTACTGCCTTTGCCCTGGTCTCCATGGCATCTCCAACTTCCCCTGGAGAGCTAGGACAGGTCAAACCAGGGACACTGAGCGGACCTTGGGCTTAAGACAATGGGTTGATTCCCGATAGGCATCATGCAGATTACAGGCACAACCAGCTCTGTGTGTTTTGAGAGGGCAAGGCTGTGGCACTGGGGGATTTAAAGTCCCAGTGTCCCCTAGGCTGATGGGTAAGAAAAGCTACTGGTGGAGACACACGGTCTTACTTTAAAAAAAAAATCTCCTCTAAATGTTTATTGACTGCCCGCTTCAAGGCCCTCTCACAAGGCCACAGACCCAGCCAAGTAAGGGCCCCATAGATTATCTTCACTGCCTATTTGGGATCCCTGTTAGCCCAGCCCCAACTCCCTCTGCTGGCCAGAGCACCAGGCTGAAGTGAAGCAAGGCAGCATTGACTCAATAGTGCAAGTTCAGCCTAGACACCCCTGATGGGACAGTCCTGGGAAGTGACTGAGTGAGAGTAACAAAGGCCTGGGCATCATCATCCACCCACTCATCCTGCCAACAGTCAAGGAAAAATGCCAGCCTCTCTCAAAAGACACGGAGGGTCAGTTATCACAAGTATTACATGATAACATATGGGAACAGAGCATCCATTGGGTATCTTCCCAGCCCCAAAGATAAGGCAATTCCAAGCGACACCATGGCTCCAGCCAGCCTCAGTGCCACCACAGGCAGGAGCTGATCGGCAAAGCAAGCACTCTCCCCCACATCTACCCATGGCAATGCACAGCTGCCGCATCTGGCCAGAGGGGAGACGTCGCTTGAACTGGTCGTGTCCTTCAAAGGAAAGGGAGAGTTACAGGGAGGGAGTCCAGGAAAGAGGTGGGGACCAGGCCAAGGAGGATGGGGAAGGTGGAGAGGGAGATATGGAGAGTTACAGGCCATGCCCTAATGCCATTGCTTGGAGGAGAGGGGGAAGAGTAAGGGACCTCCTTGAACAGACACACACTTCACCTCTGGCCTAGCCAACACTAGCCCTGGCACCAGTTCTGCCCCTATCCTCAGCCTGGCACACTCACCTGAGTAACTGTAGGAGACATCCACAGAGCCAGTGCTGTCCACCGCTCCATCAGCAGAACTTGAGCCATTGTCTGTGGGGACCGAGAGGCTAATGAGGGAAAAGGGTACGGGGTCTAGTCGCAGAGACGAAACTTCAAGAAAGTACCAGAGATGGGGAGGCCTGGGCATGGGAACAACATTTTCTTGCCCTAGAGGGTCTCTAGGTTGGAGAGATGATGCGAGATTTTTTTAAATGGCAGCTGGCAGCTTTTGCCTACCCCTCTGGGGAGACAAAAGATGATTACCACGGCCTGGCAGTCCTTAACCTTTTTCGGTGTCTTGGTGAAGCCCACAGAGTCCTTCTCAAAATAATGTTTTGAAATGCATGAAATAAAATACATAGGATTACAAAGGGAGTAAATTATATTGAAATATAGTTTTCAAAATATTTTTTAAAAAAAGAAAGAAAAGAAAAATTCACCAACCCAAGGTTAAGAACACTTGCCCCAGGAGAAGCCAGCTTAGAGTGGCCCAAAGACAGCCAAGTTGGGGGGCAGGGGTGTCCGCAGAAGCCTTCACGGAGTACCTACCGAAGGAGCCGTAACTGTAACCTTCATAAGGGGAGGAGCCAGGGAAGGATTCAGCCAAGACTCGAGGGTGGCCTGCAAAGTAAAAAACAAAGCCCGTTCATCACCTTGGGCAGTCAGAGGCCCAAATCTGGAAATAACAGAGATAGAAGGGGCTGGCAATAGGCAGAATAAGCCTGGGGACAGAGGCTTTGAGCTTCAGGGGAAAAAATAATCACACAGCCAGCTAGCCAAAACCACCTGTGCTCCTCCAGCCCCACCATTCTCCATCCCTATTCCCCTCATCAATACTCTATTATCCTAAAAAGGGTTACCAGCTTTTATCCTCTTCTAGAGAAGGTCAAAGATCCTGACAACAGAAGAATGGGCAGCACCAATACTCCCCAGACCCCACCTAGTCATAATTCATTCCTCCAAACATTGATGAGTGCATAAAATGTGCAAAGCCTGATGCTTCCCTTCCCCACTGTCTGATCTCCATCCCTCAGAAGCCCAAGGCCCTAACCCCACCCAGCACCTGTAGCTTACCAAGCAAAGAGGCTGGAAGAGAAGGTCACAAGCAGGAGAGATTGTTGGGCATGGGGGAGAGAGAAAGAGAGAAAGGTTATGAACTGTGGGCCTGGAGGCCTGGGACAGACTGAAAGACAGATGACCAGCAGGATACAAAGAAGAATAAATCAAGGAACAGCTATGTTTTTCAAGGGGTAGACAAGAAGTAGAAGAGACATAACCTCCTATCCTCATCCTCATCCTCACCCCTCAGGATCTAAATCTATGGGAAATGGTGTTAGTTCCCTTTGGCCAGAAGACTCTGGCTTCTTGAGCCCAGGCCCATTAGACCTAGAGAATCAGTCACCTCTCCACCTAGCCCACCCAGAACACTGCCTTGAGAGGTACCGCTTTCTGAGCAGGGACGGTCCATGGCCACCAACAGGGTCTTCTTCCTTTGCCTGTGGGAAAAGATCATGGAGGCTACACAGTGGTATCCAGGCTCAACATCCCTCACACCCTGCACCGCTGACCCTCCTTCTACCCTCCTCATTCAGGTGCTGATCTCTAGGACCCTTTCTTTCACCTAAACCTGGGTTTCTCTAGGTTGAAGGCACAGGTCTTAGGACAGACGACTAGAAGAGAAGCCAGCGCTCCTATTCTCTCCTTGTTGGGGAATTGTGGACTATAGGCAACAGAGCCTTTGGCCATCTGTTCTCTTATTCACCACAGCTCAGCTAGTCTTAGGGGGATGGGGGTGTGGTTGACAGCCCCCAGGGTGGGAAGGAACACAGTGGGATCAGCAGAGCAGGGGGAAGTAAAAGGGAACAGGGAGAAATCTCCTTGATCAAGCTCAAACGTTATCAAAAGGCTGGGCAGTGCCTGGTCCAATCAGTCCCCAGCTCACCTCCAATTCTCCCAACAGGCCAGTAGCACGGTCAGCAAGTAGAAGGACAGGAAAATGCCCAGGCAAAAGAGCATGCCCCCAACATAGGCCTCGGCTGGGAAGAAAAGAAATGGGAGGGGGTAGAAGTGGGATATGATAGATTAGCACAAGGTTACTGGAAAGGACTGGGGTGGAGGGTTATGGCCAGGCATTTTACATGGATACAGGTGCAAGGAAATGGTTACAGTTTCCTTTCTCTCCCTGTATTCTCACAGCCTAGAAGCTCCAAGCAGGCACAGGGGACAGCATCCTGCTTCTCTGCCCACCCCTGTTTAGTATCCATACCGGAGGTTTCCATTCCCAGGCCTATCCCCAAAGGCCCAGAGACCATCAGTGATAAAACAGCCCAAGCTGCGCCTGGCCCTACCCGCCCATCCACCCACACTCACACGTGATTGCTGGAGACACCACAACGGTCAGAGTTTTCTGGTGATGCCCTTGATCAACCGGTTCATCTGGACGTAAAAGTCAAGTCAGTGCGATAGTGGGAGCCTGGAGCTTGGCCTGAGGCTTAATGGGACCAGGCAGGAGAGAGGCTGATACCCCCACCGTTCTGTACCCTCCCCTTCCCCTATACAACCCAAGGTTTTCAGGTAAAAATCCAGGTTCCTTTGCTTCCCAGGCATCTATTAAACTCCAAACAATCCCAGCTTCTCCTCCCTACCTAGCCCAGTCCAGAGCACAGAATGTACCTTCCCCATAGGGATAGTAAGGCAAGGAGCCCCCACAGGCCTGGTCTTCGGTCTTCACCACCACCACCACATAGAAGCTGTTGCTGGGAAAGTCTTTCCGCTGTACACCACACAAAGAAACAACCTTCATCAGGTACCTGGTACCACTTATTCATAGTCCTAGAGCCCTTCCCACCCCACCCAGTCATCTGCTACCTCACACCATAGTAGATGGGAAAAAAGATAGTCAGGGAAAGTTGAGGGGGGAGGGGAAGAGAGGTTGATTCCTCTTGTTTATACTGAATAAGATGGGGACTAATGTAGGGTCTTCACAATCACATGAAAGAAACCCAGGGAAGGCCTGGGCCAAACAAAAAGAGACAGCAGATGGGTGTGCAGACACACTCAGCCAGTGTGTATGTGTATGAATGTGAAGGAAGGGTCAGGGAGAACAAGTCATGGTAATGGCAGGAATAACAATTAGGGAAGGTTGCCTAGAAAACCCATCTGGTCATAGCTCTTCAATGTCCAAGTGGTCCAGCCTACCTGCACAGTGATGGCTGCCTTCTTGGTCATTGTCTGGTACATGCCAATGAAAGCCACATTGTTGTCCAGGTCATAGACAGGACACTAAGACAGGGATGAGGATGAGGGGGTGGTGTTAAAGAGACTGAGCCTTATACCCCTTATCCCTGGAAGTCTTGTTTCCCACTGACAGAAAAGTAGATGGTCTGGGCCCACTTACCAGGATGTCTTGGATGGAAATGACTGAGCAGGGAAAAGCCTTATTGGAAGTCACTTTGACAATCACTGAATCTACTCCTTCTGGGAACTCATATTTGAAGTACTAAAGGGCAGAAGGGGGCAGACAGAGTTACCTCAGGTGGTCTCTCCCAGAAGCCACCTGCCCCAGTCCTCCCTAAGACAGCATTAACTATATGAGTTCTAGTTGGGTCAGGGTCCAAGTGAAAACCCTAAGAGAATTAAAAATAACAACCCTGACCACCACTCTACCTCCACCCTGATCCCCAGGCTCAGAGCTCCTCAGAGGCCCATTCTACTGCAGGTCAACAGGTCAACAGGTCCCCCTTCCAGAGAGCAGGACCCTACACAAAGCACAGCTGCCAGACTTCTTGCTCTTTTTTTTTGTGAGGCAATCAGGGTTAAGTGACTTGCCCATGGTCACACAACTAGTAATATACGTGTCAAGTATCTGAAGCCAGATTTAAACTCAGGTCCCCCTGACTCCAAAGCTGGAGCTCTATCCACTGCGCTACCAAGCTACCCCTACTTCTTGCCTTTTCTAAGCTGATCTCTTTGCATCCAGCACTTCCCAACTCACCCCAAACCAAAGGATTTGTGGGGACCCTGAAGGCAGAGTCTCTGTATTCTCAGTGCTTTGCATACAGTTAAGTGTTTCATAAATAAAAAGGATTAATTGAGTGGGTTTACCTGAGGCTGAGCCGCAGTGGTGTTAAAGCTGAATTGTTCACCAGTCCTGTGGGGCAGAAAGAAGAGGTTCCCACCACCACCACCATCACCATCACCATCACCATCACCAGTCACTCCTGGGGCCCTCAGAAAGATTTCCCCTTGGGCATCCCTTTCCTCTCCCAGAAATCCCACCCCAACGTCTCAAACCTGAGCACAAAGTTGTCCATACGGCTGACCCGCAGCCGATAAGAAGTGTTGAGCAACGACAGGGTAGACACATCCACGTAAAAGAACTGGACCTCAGCCTCACTCTTGGTGGGAGGCTGACAGAGGGTGCGAGCGACATCTTGGTACCGGTACTTACGCTGGTAGCTGTGGCCCAAGGGTGGGGGGGGGGGTAGTTAGTGAGTAGCTATTCTTTCCTCCCCCAACCAAATCCATAAGGAACACCTAGCTCTTCCCCCTCGAAGGGAAGTCTGGCCCAGATGAACTGGGTTTTAGGGAAGGGGTAAGTTGGCAGGGGAGACTTAATACTTTTCCCAATTTCTGGTTACTCCTAACCTTCAGTCCAGCTCCAGGCTTGGGGCCCACAAATACTCTCTTTCTTCCTAATACTTGGCCAAGTGCCTGGGTTCCGGCAAGAAGGTGCTTTAGCCATCACAGGGAGTTCCTCCCATGGTGGGAAGGGATAGAAAACTCCCCTAAGTGACAAATTTGGGTCCCTGCCTAGTGGCCTGTGCAACAGTGTGGGCATTTTCCTAGGTGAGGCAGGGAATGAGAGACATGAGGACATTTCCAACACACTGTGGGGATGTCAGCTCCCCCCACTCAGGGAGGGTCCCTTCCCCCACCTGATCCACTCCCAAATCATACTCACAGCCCCCGAAGAATCAGTGGCACTTGGAAGGACACCACAGCCTCCTTCTGTCGAACCACAAACAGCACGGGTGCCTTGTTCTGCTTGTTCAAGACGTTCACAGACACCCGCACACCCTCGGTCTATGGATACAGGTGTTCCCCTTCAGTCAGACCAACACTCAGCCCTTGCCTACCTGGTAAGTTCAGACCCCCTTCTCATACAAACGTGGCTATTCTTTTCCAGTGGTGGGAGAGGGGGCAGGGGAACAGTCAAGACCAAGGGACAGTGCTCCCTGCCTACATCTGGCCCGAGGAAAGTCAGAGGTAGAGGTTTTCACCAGGGCTATCCTTTGCACTGATCCAGAGGCAGTTCTAGTATAGTAAAAACACCCTAGATTTGAAGTCAGAAGATTTGGCTGTGAACCCTACTTCTGCTACTTCCTAGCTGCGTGAACTTGAACAAGTCACTGAATTTCTTTGTTCCTTGGTTTTCTCATCTGTAAAATGAGGACAGTGACACCTGTACTACCTATGTCACAGGCCTGTGGATGAGGATCAAAGGAGATCATTAACACAAAAGCACTGTGTGCTGTGAGCTGTAAAGTGCTATGTAATGTTAGATATTACCCAGTAGTCCTAGGAGGGCAAGCCTAAGTGAGGCTGCAAGCTTCCAGAAACAAGGCCCATCCTGTCTCTAGGGGATGAATAAGAACACTGTACAACTATTAGTGTACATCCCAAGTAAGGGGGAGAGGGCAGGTCTCCCAGGTTAAGAATCTTGGAACTCTGAACAGCCTCCTCCCTATAAACCAAAGTACCAGAAAGGCAGCTCTAGTCTAACAACTAGTCTGACGAATACTAGCACAGAGGATACCTAATTTCTGACCCCAACTCCACCCCTGAGACTCACTGAATGACTTTAGACCAGTAAATCTACCCCAGAAGCTTAAGCTGTAAAATGGAAAGACTGTCTCTCAGTGATATAGAGGATGCCAAACAAAACTCATGGGCTCTATGAAGGAGAGAGCAAACAAGAGATAGCTGTCATTCTAAGCGCTGTAACAGAGAGAAGAGTGCCTCTCTCCCCACCCCCACCCAATGAAAATCCCCTTTTCCCAGGGAGGTAGAACCCAGAGCTGCCCTCCCAGACCCAGAGCGAACTCTGGGGTTGGAATAGAAATCAGACTCCTAGTTTTGAGTAGGGAAAAGCTACAAGAGTACAGTAATTCTGGGACTAATCTTCTGGAGACAAGCACCAGCCAGCAGCAGAAACTAAGCTGTCCCTTTTCCCTACCAAGAAACAAAAAGGCAACAGCCTCCTCTCTATCTCAGCAGTTTTCAATCTTTTGGGGCTTAGGACTACTTTATACTCTTTTGGGGGGGGGGCTAGGCAATGGGGTTAAGTGACTTGCCCAGGGTCACACAGCTAGTGAATGTTATGTGTCTGAGGCCGGTTTTGAACTCATATCCTCCTGACTCCAGGGCCCATGCTCTATACATTGTACCACCTAGCTGGCCCCACTACTTCATATCTTAAAAATTATTCAGGACGCCTTCCTCCATGGCTTTTATTTATGTAAGTTATAACTGTGAATATTTACCATGTTAAAAATTAAATGATCCAAGTATTATTATGAAAAGTTTTGACCTTGCAAACCCCTCAGAGGTCCCCAAGAGCACACTTTGAGAACCAGAGCCCTACCTCATAGTTCTGACAGACTAAAGGTAAGGGAGTAAGCTCCTTTGAGGAAAAGACTAAGCCAACGTTTTAGAAGACGAATTTCCTCAATACTCAGGAGCTCCAGAAACCCCCACCTCCTAATCTCTGCTTTCAGGCCACAAGGTTCTCAGGTGGGTCCAAGCTCTATGCCATCATTCATTCAGATAGCATTGATAAAGCCTCCACCATGAACTAGGCACTGTACAAAGATCTCTTCATGAACACCTTAGAATCAAGCAACAAAGTGGTCTAAGGACTTTGGGTGACTAGGTGGGGAAAGGAAACGTAAGATGAAAGTAGGGTTTCCAGCCTGGGCCAAACCTCAGCAAGTTATATTCCTATTCTCCCCAAGTTTAGCTAGTTCTTTCTCCCTAGCCTTACTTCTGAACCCTCAACCCCACCCCACAAGGCTAGTTGGCTTTCTTTGGAGAGTTGTAGATCATCAGGGGTATGGAAAGGAGTGGGAAATTAAAAAAAAAAAAAAAATGACACTAGCCTGGGCAGCCCCCAGTATATGCTAGCCTGGATAAAGACAGGGAAGTAACTTTCCTAATCTTAAATTATCAGTGACCTTTCAACTCATGGCCTGACACGTCCACTTTGGTTGTTTGGAACAAAACAATATCAATCACGCCTAGGGCCACGTTGAGGGTCAAAACTATGCGTTTAAGGCCTGGGAGCAGCAAAGCCAGGCCTGCTCAACCCCTCCAAGTGGGTGCCCCCTCGGAAGAAAGATGACAGCAAATGGGGAAAAGAGGAGAATGAAGCAACTTCAGAAACTTCCTGCTTCAGAGAAAAAAAAAAAAACGAAAACAAAACCAGACTGTAAGGGTGGGTGAAAAAAGAGGAGAGGTAAGGAGAAGGGATTAAGCAAGAAGTACCCTAAGGCCCTTAAGCTCTCGCGGTTTGTAGTTGGGGTATACAGCAGGGGCCCAAGGATGGGGCCATAATGAGCAGGGCTTTGGTGGGAGAAGATCCGGCAGTTGCATCACTAGTCACAGGAGTGATGACCTCCCTAGTCCTCCACCCCCAATCCACCAACCCTAAATATACACGCACGCGGGCGCGCACACAGAGCACCCCAGTTCCTCACCCGGTTTCGGGTCACAGTGTGGTTAAATGTGTAGATATTGACCAGCTCGCTGTTGACTTCATCATCGTAGAAGAGTTCAAACTCAGCCTCCTTCTGGGACACGTTCTTGGGCCCCAGGACCCCCAGGGTGCCCTCAGCTGGAGCCACCAGGAGTACCAGGAAGGGCAAGCCCAGGGCGAACATGGCCCCGGCTGGGCGGAGGTGGTGGTGGCGGCGGTGGTGGCGGCGGTGGTGGCGGCGGCGGCGGCAGCGGGGAGCGCAGCACCTCGGAGGGGCGATGAGCTTCTGGCTGCAGCTTCCAGCATCTCACCAGGACCAGAACTTTAACCCCGGCCTAAGAATAGGAAATGCCCCCTCCCTGAAGAAGCAGAGACGCTCCCAGGGGCCCCCCAGTGGGGACGGAAGGGGCAGGGGGTGGAGGGGGGTAGTGCAGAACTCTGGGGAAGGGGCACCTAGGCTGGGTTTAGCACTTTGGGAGGGGCTTCGTCTGGTTCCCCGACCCCACTGCCCTCCCCAAACCAGGTGGAATGGGAGCAGACAGACTAGCCGGCTGGCACAGAGGAGCTGAGGCGGGGGAGGTAAGAGGAAACAAGCGACCGCAGCTAGGTGGGAGCCCGAAGACACTCGAGGAGGGGGTGGGGCCGGGGGCTAAGGGCGTGAAAAGGTAAAAGAGGGGTGGGCGGTTTCCGTGGGGGTGCGGCCCCTTTAAGGCCAGGAGGACGCGGCAGTCGCCAGCATTCAGAACTCCAGAAAGTAACCAGCTCGGCCCGGCTGTAAACACCAGTGCGGCCGGCAGGCTGACGTCAGGGGAAACTGACACAGATTTAAAGGGACAGGTCCCTGGCATGGCCTTAAAGGGACCGCAGTCAACCAGTTATGAGGATGTGAAAATCTGATGCTTCCCCTCTCGAATTTCTACACTTCTGCTGCTGTTTTCTCCAACCTACCGACCATATCGATCATCACCTTTCCGTGTGGATTAGAATAGGCGTATCATTTGAAAAAGATTCTCTAAGCATCTTGTTAAAGAATTCTATCCTACCTGAAATGAACACACTTTCCTTTTCCACTTTTCACCTGGCTTCTTTACAAATGGGAAAATATGAGGTTCAATAGAATGACCTCTGCAGGAGGGAAGGGGAAAGGAGATTCAGAGTAAGAGGCAGAATTGGGGGGCAGGGGAGTTACAAAGTGCGCCATCACACAGATGTGCTCCCTCTTCCCTGAGTAACAGGCTGCAAATTGGGAACAGCCTTTATTCTACAAACATTTGTTAAATTTATACCACCGTGCTAAGGCTAAAATACCAAGATAAACAATACATGGTGCCTGCTTCTAACGAGCTCGCAGTTTAGGCCCTTTACATCTGCTCTCGTGTTCTATTTCTTCAGGGGAAGAAGCCACTTAACCATTTGGTGTTGGGGGGAAAGCTGGTAAGGAACCATCCTGAAAAGCCCTGGTGAGGAGGCAGCTACCAGGGTCCCCTTTTGTGTGTACTGTCTTGGCAGTCAGGGTCTTGTGTATGCTGTCAGTTTGGATGAATTTCTGTAAAATTTCCTCATTTCAGACAGGCCCCATTTCTTCTCTCAGTCTAATTCTTCCCACTCTTCAGGGAGAAGATCTGAATATGTGTAAGGCATTTCCCTATTTACACACACACACACACACACACTCCCTTATAAAGTCTGACTACATAGAGCCTAAAAGCTGGGATTTGAATTTATGACTGAGTTGTTGATGGAGATTGTTCCAAGTCTTCTTGGTAGGAAATAAATTGTAATTTGTAGCCTCCAGAAAATATTACCAATAAATTATTATTAATAATAACATACCAACACATTACAGTGTGTTTCAAAGTACTTTCACAGCAAATTTGTGAAGTAGGTAGCCCAAGTATGGTCCTCATATTACAGGCTCAGCACCAGTCTTAATCTCAGGTTTCTCGATCCCCAATTCAGCTATTTCCTTAATTTCTCAGGTTTTAGGGAAATAGGATTTTAGAATTGTGTATTGTCAGAGTTTTGATAATGTAAATTTATGTCTAAGAAGGATCATGGAATTTATTTAAGGTTTGTAAAGTGCTTCATACACATGCACATATGTAAATACATACACACTAATTTGATCCTCACAACAACCCTGTGAGGTAGGTGCTATTATTCTTTACATTTTACAGTATGAGGAAACAGAGGCTAAGAAAAATTAAGCCCAGAATCTCATTGCTAAGAAATATCTGGGGTAGCATTTTAAAGCAGGAAAGTTACCTCAGGATCATTTACTCCCAACCCTAGGACATTCTTGCTATGAGGAAACTGAAGATGGTAAAATGGGTTTGCCAAGGTCACACAGGTAGTAACTAGAGCTGAGATTGGAACCCAGTTTTCTGAGTCTAAAACCAAGACCTTATTTCCAACTCCTCCCTCTCCCTCCATTTGACATATGAGGAAACTGAAGCCCATAGAGATAAAGTGACTTCCTAGAGGCAATACAGCTAGATTGTGGGAGAGCTGGGGAGTTTGGGAGCTAGGTCTCCAGACTGAGCAGTTGTATTTCCTGATATACTACATTGTGTCTCCTGGCAGAATTAGGAAAAAGATCAAAACACACACACACACACACACACACACACACACACACACACACGCACACACATGCACACAGATTTTCACAGGATCACAAGTCATTTTCTGTCGTGTTTCCTGATATTGACATTTTAAGGTCTCAGAAACTTGGACATGAATACCCTGATGGTTTAGGCCAAAGGACAGCTTCCTCAGACAGGGAGTCTTGTTGTTTTCATATAACTTCCTTGGCAGCTGCTGTTCCTACTCTAAAGAACTTCCCCCCTGGTCCATGAAGGGGAATAGCAGGCCCCAGTTCTGAATTAGAGCTTTCTAGGGTCAGGCTGCTAGAAGTGATAGAAAAGATCCCTTTGTCTGTGGCAGCATTCAGCTCTAAGAGTGAAAGGAGAGGGACGTGGGGCTAGATGTGTTGGAGGGGCAAGAGGATGAGATTAACTAGAGAGGTATGAACTGAGATGGACAGAGGAAAGGAAGGAAGGAAAGGGAAGAGGCAGCCTAGCCCAATCCTAGTGAAAAGCTCTCATTTAGTCTATGCTTGGGGAAAAGCCAGTTAAGTCACTTAACATTTTTTCAATCCCTCCATAAATTATCCCAGGGCGATTTCTTTCTTGTGGGTTTGGTTATCTAAACTAAAACTAAAGATCTTAATTTAGACCAGGATTTCTTATTTTTTTCTTTCTTTTTTTTTTTAGGCAATTGGGGTTAAGTGACTTGCCCAGGGTCACACAGCTAGTAAGTGTCAAGTGTTTAGTCCGATGTCAGATTTGAACTCAGGTCCTCCTGACTTCAGGGCCAGTGCTCTATACACTGCCAAAGATCTTAAACTAAGACCTTTCTCTTCCCTACCTGAAAAAAAGGTTGTGAAAGGGCACAAAACCCTGGAGGTGATTGATTCCCTGCCCTTCAGTGGTTGTTTCTTCAATTGCTAGGTGAAGTATGTCCCCTGAGGAAAGGCTGCTAGGGGCAGACCTGGAATTTTCCATCTGCCCCCAAAGCAACCACTTCTAACTGTTCCAACACAAGGTAATTTTCTCCTGCTGCCAGCCCAGTTTCCAAAATGGAGCCTCTGGTGAGAAGACCTTCTCTTTGATAGTAGGCTTCTCATCTACTGTTGTGCCTGTCCTTTGAGGGAGGAGGAGTGGAACGCTCCACTCAATGAGCATCTCATACATCCCAGTGACTCATCATCCAAACCCCACTCCACATCCCCTACCACCCAATTCCTTATTCCCTTCCCCCTTATTCCAAAATTTCAACCTAATTTCACCCAGCCCTTCCACTGTGCTCTCTGGAATGCCTGTTCCATAGACAACAAATTTCCCTTCATCTTAAATCTTTTCCTCTTCCACTCCTTCCATCTGCTAGTTCTTACTGAAACCTCGCTTCCCACTGATGACACAGCTTCCCTGCCCATTTTTCCTAGTACTGGCTGCACCTTTCCTTATTCTCTTCAACTCACTCCATATAGGTGGGGAAGTTTGAATGGTCCTTTCTCTCCATGCCACTTCCAAGTTTTCCCCCTTCTTCCATCACTCAGCAACATCTCTTCCTTTGAGGTTCAAGCTATTCATATCTACCACTCAATTAAAGTCCTGGAGCTATTGTCTACAGACCCCACCCTCCCAGGTCCCTGCCCTTTTTTCCTCAGTGAGTTTGATACTTGACTCACAGTTTTTCTCTCCTCCCCAACTCCTGCCCTTAGGGAAATTCAACATACATATTGATTCTCTCTCAAATACTCTTAACCACTCAGTTCCTCTACCTATTCACCTCCTTGGAGCTACTCTTCCACCCACCCTCAGCCACAACACAAAGATGTTCATACCCTTGATGTTGTAGTCATCTATAAATGTACCATCTCTATGTTCAAGAATTCTAAAATCCTCTTTATCTGACCACAATATTTTGATTTTTCACTTCTTCCTCTGCCTTCCCTTACAAAATCCTACTCTTCATCTGCACCACAACCTCTAATCCCTTGACCCCTCAATTATCTCCCAGGCCATCTCCTCTGCATTAGCCACTCTCTCCTCTTCTCTATATCTTGATCCCTTGGTGAGCCAATTCAAATCTATACTGTCCTCCTCTCTTGAATCCCTAGTCTCCTTCTCATATTGCCAATTAAGCCCAGCCAAGTCACAGCCTTGCATCACTCCCACCTTTGCAATATACGTATTGCTGAATGAAGGTGGAGAGAATCACATAACCTTTCTGAGTTTACTACAAATTTGTTACATAACCTCAACTGGGCCTTCACTGCTGCAAGGCAATCTACACCCTTCTCAATTCACTATCCTACACTCCACTGTGGCTCTTCCAAACCTTTTCATCCTTTCTTGAACTTCCCATAGCCCCCTCTCCCTCCACGCTCTCAGCTGAGATTCTTGCCTCATATTTTACAGAGAAAAAAAATGAATCTATTTGCCATATGCTACCTCTTCTCTCCTCTTATCCACTATCACTTAGGTGCCTTCTGCCACTCTCTCCTCCTTCACCTCTGCCTCACATGATAAAGTGGCCTTACCCCTTACCAAGGTTTACCTCGCTACTTGTTCAAGCAATTCCATTCCATCCTATCTCCTCCAGCAGATCACCTCTGCCATCCCCACTCTATCACTTATTTTCAATTTATCTCTCTCTACTGGCTCATTTCCTGCTTTCTATAAACATGTCTTCTCTCTCCTGAAAATAGTCTTCCTTGATCCTTCCATCCCAGCTAACCATAGTCCTTTGTATCTTCTGCCCTTCATCTACAATAGGTGCTTCTGACCTTATAACTCCACTGAAACTGCTCTCTCCAAAGTTACTAATGATTTCTTAGTTGCCAAATCCAGTGACATTTTCTCGATCCTCATTCTCCTTTATTTCCCTGTAGCCTTACTCTCTTGATACTCTCTTCTCTCCAGGTTCTTAGGACACCATTCTCTCCTACATCTATCTCTCTGACTGCTCCTCTCTGTCTCCATTATTGGATCCTCTTCCAGATCACACCCTGTAACAGGAGGTGTCCCTCAAGGTTCTGTCCTGGGACCTCTTCTCTTCTCCCTAATATGACTTCACTTGGTGATCCCATCAGCTTTCATGGATTTAATTACCATCTCAATGCTAAAGACTCTCAAATCTACCTATCCTGTTCCACTCTCTCTGCTGATGTCCAATTGTGCATCTCCCACTACTTTTCAGACATCTTGAACTGGATGTCCAGTGGACATCTTAAACTCAGTATGTCCCAAATGGAATTCATTATCTTTCCCTCTAAACCCTCCCACTGCCTACCTTCCCTATTACTGTAGAAGGTAACACCATCTTCCCAGTCCCTCAGGTTTACAACCTGGGGATCATCCTTGATTCCTCACTATCGCTCCCTCTCCTCCCCTCCAATATCCAAACTGATACCAAGGCCTATTTCATTTTTGCAACATCTCTCAAATATGTCCCCTTCTCTCCTCTGATACTGCCACCACTCTAGTGAAGACCTTCATCACCTCACATCTGTATTACTGCAATAGTCTGCTGGTAGTTTGCCTGCTTTAAGTCTCTTCTCATTCCAATCCATTCTCTGTGCAGCCACTAAAGTCATTTTCCTAAAACACATTTCCTAAACATCATGGCACACACACTGCATCCTCTCTCAGCCCCCAAACTCCAGTGGTTTCCTATTGTGTCCAGAAGCAAACACAAAATGCTCACCTGGTAACTTAGGTCCCTCTTTTTTTCCAGCCTTCTTGTATGTCACTCTCCCATATGTACTCTTCAATGCAATGACACTGATCTTCTGGCTGCTGCATAAACAAGATACCTCATCTTCCTGCTCCCCACATTTTTTCTGGCTGTCCCCCCCCATCCCTGGAAGGATCTCCCTCCTTTATTCCAACTATTGCCTTCCTTGGTTTCCTTTAAGTCCCAAATAAAATCCAAGCTTCTACAGGAAGCTTTCCCCAACCTCTTAATTCCAGTGCCTTCCTTGTTACCTTATTTTTACTGATCCTGTATATAGCTTGTTTTGTATATATTTGTTTATGTATTATCTCCCCATTAGATTGTAAGCTTCTTGAGGTCAAGGAATGTCTTTTGCCTCTTTTGGTATCCCCAGTTCTCAGCACAGTGCCTGGCACATAGTAGGTGCTTAATAAATGTTGATTGATTGGAACTTAAAGGCTAACAAGTGGGAGTTACTAACACATAAAGCATATAGCTGCTTCCCCCCTTCCCCTGCAATGTCCATTCGGTTCCAGTAAGAGCCACCTTCATTTAGTTCAAAGACAAGGAGAGTAAAGATAGCTTTACTTTCCACCATCAGGCATTCTTCCTTTTTCCTGGGCCATGCATGATGTATCAGTGATCTGGACTAACTAAATTATATGAAACCCATCTTTATCTCTCCTTCCCTTCTTTGCCTTTGTAAATTGGGTAATCTTATATATTGGAGCCAGCCACTTCCAACTAGGACTTGTTACAAACACCAGTTTGGAACTCAGCTGATCACAAACCAGCTTTTTGAAATTGTTTCCTATGTTCCTATGGCCATCCCTATCCCATGTCCAATCCTAGCCAAAGGCATTGTGACCAGTGGGGTAGCCCCAGGATAGGATAGTAGATATAAAACCACAATTTTGAACAGAGTTGGGGTGGGATTAAGGAAGTCACTAAGGGATTACTCAAATACTCTGCTTTTTTTCTTCCTTTTCCTCCTCCTCCTCCTCTTCTTCTTCCTCCTCCTCCTCCTCTTCTTGCTGCTGTGGTTCTTTGTGGTAACTCGTTTACACACCCATGGTGTATGCCCCTCTCACCCCCACCCCCAGTCCATTTTTCTCCTCACTATGCAACTGGAGAGCTTGTATCTCAGTATCTTGGTCTTGGGAGCACTCAGGGTGCAGGAAAGAAAACCAAATAAAACTAGCATTTACCAAGTAAAGAGTTCCAAGTGCCAATATGATTCAGACAGAAAGGCTAAGGCCTCACTTCCTAAAAATAGGCTTTTTGCCACTCTGATTGGGGAATGCAGATGGGAGGTTCAGGCCCTGCTATTCATTTCTTTGAGCCAATGTGACTGTGCTAGCCCAAGAGCTTTCCAGGAAAAGTTGTCGGTCATCAAGTTGCTGGAAACAAGTAAATGAATAATTGATTGGCACAATCTCTGCCTCTTAAGTATCACTGATAAAAATTAGCTAGCCACCCAAGAAATCTTGGGCCTCTAGCTAGGAAGGTTAGAAGAAAAAGTAAGTAGCTTTTGAGAGTAGAAGATGGATCCTATAGGTGTGAAGAACCATTTATTCAGCTCTAGCTATTATACCTAAACATGGCACGCTGTCATTTGCCTTCTCATGATCCAGCAGGCCTGGTCTCCTGTTACATCCTGGCTCAGATGTCTTCCATCCAGTCAAGCCAGCCTGGCTGAAGCTGAGTGGCTCACTTCTGACCTCCGTCTTCATAAAGGTTGTTCTGTCTCCCAGAATACCGTTGCCCCACTTCTAATTCATTCATGAAGCTTTCTTAAGACTAACTTCACTCATCTCTGATCATTCTAATTGTTAACTTAAACCTCCTGGATCACAGCTATATAATATTGTTACATGGAATTACTATGTATCTCCTTTGAGTTAAACATAGAACTGGCTTATTGCTGTTGTTTCTTATGTATGCTTTATGTTTTTGACCTGTTATCTATTATATTTTGAACTTTTAGCCTAGGGACTGTCTTTTGTTTCTTGCATTTAACTCACTAACAACTAATATAACTTGACCTGCCAATGGTGGAAAATGGACAGGAATAAGGCTTACTTGGAGTACAGTCCCAAGAGGTCAGTTTCAAAATGAAATGTCAGCAGGTGAGATTAAAGCCTTGATGGATAAAGAGAGAACTTGGGATGGGTGCATTCTGTCACACAACCTCTGCCTACTGCAAGACAGCAGAAACTGGGGTAGGCTGCAAGGGGCTGGATCTCCTAAAAATAGTAGCCATGAGAAAGGCTTAAGTAGACATACTCTGCTGGAAGTGAAAATCATCTGGCTCTCACCCTGCTACAGATGTTGCTTGGGTGACAACTGTATCCAGGATTTTAAATGTTACATTTCAAATCAGCTCCTCTCAGAGGGGACCTTTCCTCTTGCAGGAAGAAGGAACCTGGCAACCCTGGACAATGTTACTCACCAGGATATTAGGTAAAAATACTGTCCTTTTGCATCATTCCTGGTGGGCTTTGATGGTTAATGAATTTGGAGGCTAAGTTCCTGATAATCCTCCTAATCAAGTGTTTTAGCATGCCAGCTCAGGGACCAAAGTTGAAATAGTTTTTATTGCTAGGGGCAGCTCCCGAGTTCTGGTTAATTACAAGTAGCATCACCCTAAGCTTCATTTTAAGTGTCCAAAGTATCAAAACAAGTCACCTCAAAGATCTACCCTCCCCAGGGACCTGTCATCGACAGCTCTCAGCTATCAGGCAAACGTCTATTTACTGCTTAGTCTAATTCCCAACATCAGCCACACAATGGGACATTCACACCCCAGATCTCATCATCACTCACTGATGTTCCTATTTAATGATCAAAAATTTCGAAACATCATTATCTGACTCTTAAACCTATTCTTGGTTCTTCACTATGATTTCCTCTTACCCCTCAGTACTCTCAGAGGCTGTCAACCTTGCTTTCCCATCCCTAGCTTGAATCAACAGTTAATTAGTTCAGTGTTAAGCTGTTGACTTTCAGATCCATTGTCCTCTTACTCTATTATTGCCCATCTATTATATCCAGAATCTTAGATTTACTTTCACCATCTGCCTCTTCTCCTTCTATTCACTTTCTGGATTTCATAAAGTGACATTGCCAGATTTGTTATTGGTCTCTCACTGCAGCAAGGCAATCCTTTTCCTCTTCCAGTTGATTCTCTATCATATTCCTCACTGCTGTTCCAAACCTCTCCACCCTCAGCCAGCTAGCCCCAGCATTTTGCCATCAGCCCAGTTCCCAGGTAACGGCATTTAATAGACAGGGTGTCCAGAATCCATTCCTGCCACACCCCCAACTCCCATTCTGAGGAAGTTAACCCACTCAGTTTTGGACTTCAATCTTGGGACCCCGCTGTTCTAACTTGGTGAGTGGCAACTCTGGTAAGCCCGTACACCATTCCTTCCTCTACCCCCACCCCTCCCCATTCTTCTGCTAATGGTTTGACAACTACCCTAGGACTTTACTCACCATCCTAGTGAATGTCCAGGCCAAAACTTGCCTTCCTGTGCTGTCACTTCCTTTAGAATGTAAGCTGCTGGAGTCCAGGTTTCACTTTTGTATTTGTATGAAAAGCACCCACGTTCTCCAGTAAGGACCTCACTAAACACTTAGGAAATGGGCCATTCCCATGAGCTCCCTCTTCACCCTGACTTACCTCAAAACCCTTTATGCTTTAGCCCCATCTTTGATAGAGGTGACCCATCTCCTCAGAAAAACCAACCTCTCTACTAATAAGCTTGATGTTACCTCTTTTCATGGCTAGTCGATCCTTCAACATCTCTGACTTCAGAGTTGTGTCTCCCTCTTAGCCCCTTATAGCCACTGCCTACAAACAAGCCAAGGTCTCCTTCATCCTTAAGAAGCAAAACAAACCCTTACTTCACTCTACCATGCCCTCAAGGTATATATCTTTCCCTCCTTTCTTTCACAGCTAAACTGGAAAAAGCATTCTCTAAAGTTGCTTCCAGTTCCACTCCTCTCATTCCTAAGCTCCCTCTACTACTTTTAACTGTATCACAAACTAAAACTGCTCTCTAGTGACCAATGATTGCTTAAATTGCGAAATTCAAAAGTTCTCAATCATCATTCCTGGCCTCTCTTCAACTTTTGGTATGATGACCACCCCCTCTTGCGGCTCTTTTCTCCTCTCTGGGTTGTGATATTACTCTCATGATTGCTCCTTCTTAGCCTCCTTTGCTGGTTCATCATCCATATGCCCCCCTAGGCCCTCTTCTCTCTCTACAATACACTTTCACTTGGTGACCTCTTTAGTTCCCTTAGGTTCCATTGTACCTATGTAGATGTCTGCCAGATAGATCTAAAATATCTATATACACACAGAGCCCTAACCTCTCTCCCAAATCCCACGTCCACCCATCAAATGACTTGCAAGGGAGACAAGGTTTACACTTCATTAACTTTTTTCTCTTGATGGAGTTCCTGTGGCTAATTCACTCTCTCTAGCATGCACATAAGCATAACAAATCACAGCTTCTTCTCTTGGATTTCAGAAGTTGAAGAAAACTTAAAAGTTTTGGTAAGTATTCCAGTACCTTTCTACAAATAAGGAAACCAGGGGCTCGGTATTTTCTACAGCAACTTAGATCTCATTGACTTAGTTTTCTGGGTTCTGTTGAGGCTGGGGACAGGACTTATTAAATGGTACTAAAAAAGGATGTTAAAAAGAGCTAATTGCATGGGGATGGCATGGGGAGGAGCTGCACATATTGTGAAGTAAAATAAATCCTGGTGATAGAAAATGGGGACTCATAAACCAACCTGTAGAGAGTAAGGATGTGAGAAAGCCAAAGCACTTGTTTAGGAGCTGGGAGTCCTGGATTCTAACTGCAACTGATATTGGTTTGTATAAATCTGGGTAGCCTTCCCAACCTCAATTTTCCCATCAACAAAAATATATTTCCATTCTCCCCATTACTCCAGGCCTGTCTTAAATGATGAATGAAAAAGTCTGGATGGTCTAACCAGCTTAAGGCAGAAAAGACTCAGGATTTATTAAGACTACTCATTTTCTTATGATTATGGCTTGGAAGCCCAGAAGTTCATGGAAACCCACCCATAGGAAAGAAGTCAGAAAAGACACCACCAGTATGGTTGGATGAAATGTTTACATTTATATTGAAATCTGCACTACAACAGAGTGATTTCTACCAGTCAATGCAACTTTGCCAAAGCAGAATCACAAACTTCCCTTGGGGAGGTCCGGTCAGCTAGCAGCGGTGTTCCCCAAGCAGGAACATCAGGGAGAAGCCAGGAAAGCTCTTAAAAAAAAAAGTCTTCTTCCCTGGTGGCCCCACCTCAGTTCTCCCACATGCATCCATTCATATTTAAGAGCTTGGACATGCTCCTCATTTCCACACCTTTTCTATTTCTTCATCATTGCAATAAATATAAAATTGGCAATGCTCACACACACCACAGTACAGACAATATTTCAGGCTTCAGCATACAGCTGTAAACAGCGACTAGGTTAAAAAAAAAGGGAAAGGATTGGGGTTTTCACAGCCAGTTAAGATTTTTTTTTTTAAATGAAAGGACATGATGGAGGACAGAGACCCCCACTAGTTTTTGTTTTGTTTGTTTCATTGGTTTGAGGTTCTTTTGAAAAGCCACATTTAAACAGATAACCTAATGTTGCCGTAGACCTCACTGCTTATGGATGTCAGATGAAAAACTTATGTCTCAGGTCGCCCTTGGCAGGGTAGCACTGAAATTCAATAACCAAACACTGAATAAATGACCTCAGCAGCCATGACAAAATATGTTGGGACTGGCTGGCTTAGCAAAGAAAAGAGAATGCCTGGCCACACACGATAGCAGGAGTGAGGTTAGAGAATTCCGAATGAAAACTGGCAAGGAGATAGGTAAAACTACCTCTGCTCAGCTGCCTGGACAATGGGTAAATCTATCACAATTAGCAGCCAGCACATTTAACTCAAGCAATAAATTAGAGCTTTTTATAAAAAGAACCACACGAGAGGGAGCAGAATTCAGAGTGTAGGCTTCAAGTTCTATCACTGCAGGAAATTAGGGCATTGCTAAAAGAACAGCACACAAGACTTTCTGGTGATGAAATAGACTTGGCAAGAAAATAAATTGGACTTGATAGTTGGATGTTAGCAAAGGAGCAAAATAATTCTCTTTTTCTGCTTAAAAGGCAGTAAGACTCCATATTACTGCCACGATTACCAGTAGCTCTGGTGATTATAAAATGTACTAATATGAGAGGGAGCATATACAGAAGGAAAAGGAAATGCAGAGTTTTAAGAAATGAAGTGACCCCTTAGGAAAGGAACTAGTGCACATGCTATAAGGGGTAATTTAATTAACTGGGACTGCACTGCCACCAGGTGACATCCTAAAAGGAGATATGGATGATAAGAAATCTTCTTATTCAGAAAATAACAGGACATAGCCCTGGGTAATCTCTAGTCAAACTCTAAACCCCCCAAACTATGCCTCAACTAAAGGAAGGCCTCTTTTGAACAACCTTAGAACATGAGCAAAATCAAAGGGAAATTTTAATGTAGCAAACAAGTTTTGTATGAGCAGCATGTATGTTTTTTGTGAGGAAACACATGACGTAATAGGAAAATGATGTATACCATTAAAAAAGTTTTCAAAAGCTTTTAAACCTTCAACTGAGACTCTAAGTCACAGAAGGTTTGGGGGAGGGGGGCGGGGAAGAGAGAACAACAGCCCAAATCCCTTCATTCCCTTCTGCTTAAACAAAAGTGGGTCACAACACTAATGCTCACATCTAAATCAGCCACTTGCTTTAAAAGCAAAGCACAGACCATACATGAATGTCCTCCTAGTTAGATCTTGGATACTAGTAATCTCAATCACTGCAGCACAGAGTAAGTCAGACCTTAACTGGTTACTGCAATAAACATCTAGTCCAGTTTAAAGTTATGTTTTTTATAATTCCAGTTTGTATATTTCCCATAGGTATACAATGAACTCTTAGCTATATTTTCCCTTCCCCTCCCACCCCCACTTTAAAAGCCTTTCCTTTTTTCTCAGGCAAACTGAAAAATATATCAAGCCCACTTATGAAAAGATCTTGGGAGGAGGAGTAATGTATAAATACATTCAGAAGGAACCCTATGATTTATACCAACCTAATTCTCTTATTAGAATATGAAGCAAGGAAGGAAGAATTCTCTAGAAAGCAAAGCTACACTTGCTTCTCCTTTTGTAAAGGCCAATTTCTGCTGGAATAAAACATCTGTAAAAATAATATCAATAAACAAAAATGTACACCTTAAGACCTGATAAGGCTTTAAATAATTTTAGGTTTTGTGGAAAGGGAAACTACTCATTTTTTTCCAAAAGGGAAAAAAATAACAGATTTTTAAGGGAATGACAGATCCTTCTTAAAAAAAAAATTTAAAAATCAGAATTTGGAACATGGACAGCACTGCACAGAATCTCAAAATGCACAGAACACCACACAAGAATGAGATGCCAGTAATGTTATGGGAATAGCTGTCTGGGGATTCACACTTATGAGAAAAGAGAGTTCTTAGATCAAAAGAACTGTTAAAATCTCGTAATGACATATGTCAACATGGACCAAAAAATGGGGAGGGGAGGAGAGAAAATGCAAGAGTGGGTCCATTAGAGACATGATATTCAAGCAGCATAAAAAATAAAATCTTCCAACATTTTCCAAAGATTAGGGTAAAAACCTGTCGGTTACAGCTAAGATCTTATAAAAGAAGCACAAGAGGGAAATTAAGAGAACAGAACACATCCATTACTACCTCTAGCACCTCCCATTTTTGAATGCCATTATATTCAATTTGGTGCTACAGTTTAAAAAAAAATCCAGAACATGAGTCACATTAAAGAAACCTAAAATACAAACCTTTAAAACTGGAAAAAACATCTGTTTTTAAGCAAAGTGGAATGTGATTCTGATAACAAGCTAAATTATTACATATTACATAATCCATAGAAAAGGAAGAACAAAGGAATTTGGGTATTGTTCATTACTTAGGCTGATGTGGTCCTAGGGAGAACAAACAATGATGATGCAATGAGCGTCACACAATCAACTAAAAAAAGTCCCGTTCTGGTTTCAACTGAAGAATATCTTAAAAACAATAACCTTCCTTTGCTATTTTTTTTTTTGTAGTTAAATCAAACCTTTTTATGTACAAGACCAGTTTAAATCCCCCCCTCCCCTTCAAACACTAGATATGAACATCCAGGAACATTCTAAAATGGAAAGTGCTTTAAGAAAGAGAAGGATTCTGTAGTGCCAGTGATATAACTGATCAGATGAGGCTGTGATGCTGTTAACACTGATGGGAGCCAGTCAGGCAAGTGTGGTTTGCTTCTCCTCAGGCGTTTCCTCCAACAGCTGCATGATCAGTTCATGGAGGGGTTTGCAGATCTTTGCATAGCCCCCTCCTGTGAGATGTAGGAAATCAAACATGTCGTGGCAGGAGATGGCACCATCTGAGTGCACAAAGCCCCCATCTGTATCCAAGAGCTGAACATTGGCAAGCTTGGGCAGAGAAACTTTGAGGAGCTGATTTACCTTGGCATTCTTTTGTCTCAAAGGGTTGGGCTTTTCACCTCGAGGGAGAAGACCCTGGGGCAGCAGAAACAAAAAAAAAGATATCAATGACAAAATGAGCTGAACATATAGTTATCCCTTCCACCCTGGGATCTGGAAAATCCGTGTAAAAATTTTTGGCCTGCCCTTTGTACCAGAGAAGTCTGAATTTTTTCCTTTTCTTTTATGGGGTGTTTACAGTGTTAAAGGATAAAATATGTTGATGTTATATAATACTATACATATATTTTATGCATTGCCAAGTTTCTAAACTTTTTCTGTGTCATCTGCTGGCCTTCAAGTGTCATCCATGGCTTCTGCAAACCTCCCAAAAAAATCCCATTTAATTTCTTATGCCAACTGATATATCAACCCTCGACGGGGAAAGTCTTGATGTGGAAGAGATAACTGCATTCATTTGTCCTTACTTTTCAGTATTTCACACATCTGTGATTCTTACCACTCTTCTATCCCACTTAGGAGTTAGAAGCACTTCCTTTCACTTAATCAATGGCCTTAAATTGGTCTAATAGTATTTGAGATTAATCTTTTACATAGATGTTGTAATGTTACAGGCAGTTTATTCAAGATGAAGATAACTCATGATTTAATTTCAAATATTATTGAAGGACAGAGCATTTTCTGTTAGGCTGACACTGAGAACATTCTCCCTTAAAACCCTATTACCTTCAGAATGTAAAACCTATATTGTAGGTATGGATGTAAAACCCAAAGAATGTAAACCTATATTGTAGGTAGAGAAACTTTTCTGATCTGTCAGAACTCTGGAAAAGTTCAGAGTTCTAATAAATATATCCATCCATCCCTATTTGAAATGGAACAACCTATCTAAGCTGATTCAAGTTCAGGCCTAATCAAGGTATACTCGGAAGTCAGAAATTCTCATTTGAACGTCTCTGGAAAATTCACTGCAGGTTGTTTGGGTACCTTTTTAAACACTGGAGGCAAGAAAAAGATCTAGTCTATCTACAAAAATAGGGAAGACTTCAACCTCCAGACAGAGATGAAGGAAGATGCTGAATGAATCAATATGCCAGTTGGCCTGGGAAATAACAATGGGAATGATCAGTTAGGGCAGCAAATATATACATGGGAAGGACAGGAATAGATTTTATCAGCAGCAGCCTTTCCCTTTCTCAAGGTGCTCTCATCTAAAGATTTCATACACTCATGAGTAAATGCAACACACTGTTATCTTTGAGAATTTATATAATGTTCTCTAGTTGCCCTGGAGATGGCACGGTCTCCATTCACACCAAAGGACTGCATACCAGTACGATGACTTTGGCCTGTGGCTGCCTCGTGTTAATCAACTGTACAATAGCCTCAATCCCACCTGCTACCTCCTCTGCTGTATTTTCATGGTTGTTTGTTCCTACCCAGACCACGATGACCTGTAAACAAGAATAAGAGAACATTATTTTATGGGGCACCTACTGTTCAATGAGAAACAACTGCTCCTATATGAAATACAAAAACTACATGCTTCTCCATATTGTTGGGAAAGAGAGGCATAAAGATAAAAGTTTTTCTGAGGTGGAAAGTAAAAAAAAAAAAAAAAAGATTTCATCATTAGCCTGAATCATGCATCAAGTTTTGTCTTCATTTAGGAGTCTTGATATTGTAACACTATATTTCAATTATTCAGTTTAGAGAACAGAACAGTGAAGATCAAGTTTGATATCCTCCTTATTCTTGTTCCTTAAGTTTCATATACTTTAAAAATAAAAAATAAAAATAGCCAACGCACATTTTCTACTCTACTAATATCAAGTCTTTTACTATAGCTAAGAAAGATGATTTTAGTAACTAGATATTTAACTACTGTAATTAATATATTGCTTTCTTGAGAGGGAATATAGCATAGTGCATAAAAGTTGGCGTTTAAGTCAGGAAGACCTAGGCTCAAATCCTGTCTCTGACATAAATTAGCTTTTGGAACACGAGCAAATCCTTAACCTCCATCTTCTCTCTAAGGCTTAATTTACAGAGAAGGCTTAAAGTTTTCACAGGAACAAAATCACAGATCTGGCCCTAAATAAATAAATATTGCTTTCTTAGTTATTTATCTTAGTATTATTTTACACAATGATGCTAGCATTTACCTTACAATGAATTAATATATGAAAGGAACAAAGTCTTCTACTATTTGCTTATTTACTCTAAATAATTTTCATTACTCTATTGAATTGTAACGTATCAGGGTTAATGATTTTTTTATGTAAATGGAAAAAAGTTCACTTTACTAGTTGAGTTTTATTTTACCTTAGGTTTAATATTCTCCAGTTCTCCATTCTTCAGTCTCCATAAGACATGCCTTGTTGTGTCACCACCAATACCAAAATTCAGTGCATGAAGGGGGGAAAAAAGCTCTCGCCATATCTAGAAGCATGAAAACAAGTGACCTAAATCAACACATAGCTGAAAATAAATCTCTTTATCACAGTACGTTTGTTGTGAGGCATTTCAAATGAAAAAAATTTCATCTTTTGAATTAAAATACTACTATGGATCTGAAAAATCTACTTTATGATTCCATAGTACCTTCCATACCAATAGGTCTCAATTCAAGAATCCACCAATAATACAATCCACTCCTGTAAGATACACCAACATTTATCATTAAGCTGGTTCCTTTATACTCTTTCCTTTCTCTTTATGCATCCACGAATGGTACGACACAGAAATAGGACATTCCAAGTGCTTGTGGATTTAATTTTAAATGACATTTCATTTATTTCCTAACATGCTAGTGGTACCAAACATGCCTTTAAAACTTGTCTATCCTACCTCAAAGCAGGAGATCCTTCCAGAATTATGTAGGTTTTGATTCAATTTATCATGAAGACATGTATTAGCAGGTACCATCTATCAATATTCCAACTCCACGACTATCCTCCCAACCTTTACCTCATACTGCTGTAGCAACTGCACCATGGAGTCTCCCACAAACAGGACATCAGGCTCTTTGTCTTTGCAGTCCAGGACAAATCTGTTGTGCTGTTTTGAAAAAGAAAGAATTAGAAACTGGCACTTCTTCCCCTGTGAGATTTCTTGGCCTACAAAGAACAGTTGTCCAACCAGTTACTCTGCTGCCAGTCTTTTAAACTTTACTTTCTCTCTCCCCCATTGGCTCATTCCTTTGGGTTAGAATTTTACAGCTGAAATTTCTTTCTCTTCTACTACATTACTCTCTTTATGTAATCATGCTATTAAACAGGCATACTGTTAAAATCTTAACAGTGGGAAAACCCTACCATGAATTTTATTAGCCCAAATGTATAAAAATATAGCAAAATGGAATTTAGGAATTTTTATAGGTTTGCTTTTTTTTTTTTTTTAAATTCAGGTCTCCTCAGCTTAACCCAGGTTTGTAAATTCTGTATCCTTAAGTCATAGGATCATAGATTTAGAGTTGGAAGGGACCTAGAGGCCATCCAGTCTGACATCCTCATTTTACAGAGGAGGAAACTGAGGCCCAGGGAGATTAAGTAACTTGCCAAAGATTATTACTCAGATAGTAATAAAATATAGTAATTATTACATCAGGGGTAAGATTTGACCAAATACTTTTCTTTCTTATCATTTGCAATGGGTCACCCAAAAACAAAGGACATACAGTACAATTTAAATTCTAGTTCCTACTTCTTTTTTTTTTTGTTTGTTTGTTTTAGTTCTTACTTCTAACAAGATGTTATGGTCATAAGACTCCCTAATTTGTCTCCGTTAAATGTCTTAAAACACAACACTGACAAGCTACATCCACTAATGCTTTTCCTGAGTTTAAGGCTGTTAACAGCTTGCAACAGACTTCTGATTAGAGAAAGGAAGGGTGGCACCAGGCTTTCCTAAACTGATGGAATTACAGGATCATACGTAGATTTAGAGCTGGAAGGGGCCTTGAAGGCCATCTAGTCCAACCCCCTCATTCTACAGATGAGGCAACTGAGGCCCAGGGAGATTAAGTGACTTGCCGAAGGTTACACAGGTAAGCATCATGGGTAAGATTTGAACCCCGGTCCTCTGACTCCAGAGTCAGTGCACTTTTTCTTGCACCACGGTGCCTTCCTAAAACAGGCAAAAACAAACAAACAAACAAACAAACAAACTTTAACTGGTAAGGAAAGGGGAGGTTTTTCTGGCCAAGACACATTATTTCATGTCTTGAATGCACATGTCCTTAATAATTCCAAGCAATCAGCTCATGGTTATCTGATAGTACAACCAAAGGATCACAAATCTGGAGCTGAGAGCGATCCCTGTGGCCATATCTAGTCCAAGCTTCTCTTTAGTTATTAAAGAGTTAAAAAAGTCTCTTCCCCACAACTCCCTCAGGGTCTAACCATCCACTGTTTTCCAACCCTAGTTATCTGAAGGCAACTCCTGGATCCAGTTTCAGTTACTACATTTTAATAATGGGCATAATGGAACAGATCCAAAAAGGGGCAACTAAAAGCATCAAAATGATAAAGTAGCTTCCATGATTTTTCATTTGAGTTTTAAGATATTAGGAGACACACAAAAATATTTAATTGACTCACTGAATCAATTTCCGTAACTTTTTGTCACCAACTTAAACAACATATAAAAATTCAACAAATACTAATCTACTCCTATAACTCCAAATAACTCTGCTGATTTTTGTCAATGTACATACACACTTTAAAAAAATTTTATTTTCAATTCCAAATTCTCTCCCTCCTTACATTCTTCCCCTATTCATTAAAAAGGCAAAAAAATGACACTCATTATACAGCACATATATACTTTTAACACAGTATGTACACACTGAATACAAATATACTTTTAAAAAAGTTTATTATTTAATATATATTTCTGAGCCAACTGATCAAATCTTAAATCAGGGAGGGAATACAATCAAATGGCATAAAAACATTAAGGACATGGATAAAGATCACCTAATCTTGGAATATTAGAACTTGAAGGAGACAGAAAATAAAATAAAATACTACTTTATATAGTGAATAAAGCCTAAACAATGACAAAAAAATGAGCACCAGCAGTTCCCATTTAAATAGCACTTTACACATGAGACTTGCTTTCACTAACAATTTTGTAAGAGGAAAGTAATAATAATAATAATACACACTTAAATAGTTCTTTCCTGGGGTATTATTGTCCCCATTTGGGGAAAATAGGCTGGGGAAACTGAGGCTTAGAGAGGTAAAGTGACTTTCCTAGAAACTCAGCTAGTGTGTATCAATGGTCAAATTCAAACCCAAGTCTTCTGACTCCAAATCCAGTAGTCTTTCTACTATATCAACTTGTAGGCAGAATAAATAGAAAATAGGCTATATAAAAGTTTAAACAAATCCATATTCTTTCAAGTAAACTAAATTATGAACTCAAATAATGATGAGAAAAATGGATGGGCTATAATACTAAAGGGATATGTTCAACTACAACGCCAAACATTAATGTAGGAAAGTATTTCAAAAACCCTGTATTTTACAATTATATTTATGTTGGATAGCACTGAGCTATTTCTGATGGTAGAAATTCTAAAAATATTACTTTTATCTAAAGCATAAAATTTTCAGATTAAAATATTTGCAAATTCCCTTCAAAAAGCTCAAATTCTTGTTGACTTATTAAACTTAAGGCTGTTCTAAATACATTCCTAACTTCCTTAAATTATCATGACAGAGGGCAACCACCATACTTCTCTAAGCATCCCATTATAGTTTACTTGTCTAGTAGAATGAAAACTCCCAGAGGACAGGGACTGTTTCATTTTTATCTTTGTACTCCCAATACCTTACATATAGTAAGCACTTAATAAATACTTGCTGAATTGGCACACTACTTTGGCAAATAAAACAGTGAGGTGAGGAACCACTAACTGAACCCCACATATAATTTCTTATTTTATGATTTTGTTCAATACATGCTTTTTGCCTAACTGAAAAAAATGGCCACTTTATTGCCTTGGCCATTAGGCTTCTTAAAAATTAAAGTGGATGGCCCCATATCACATAAATGAAACTTAATACCTGAGACATCCATCGGTCATCTCCTTGAATATCTTCGGCTGCATGTGGAATAGCTGCTGGGTTTGAGTCCCCCTGGCTCATTCTACACCTGAGAAAAGAGTGTGCAAGTGACATTTACTCAATCAACAGTATGAGGGACCATGCTACTATACTATTAAGACTTATATCTATGGGGGCAGCTAGGTGGCACACAGTGGATAGAGTACTGGCCCTGGAGTCAGGAGGACTTGAGATCAAATTGGGCCTCATACACTTGACACTTACTAGCTATGTGACCATGGGCAAGTCAGTTAATCCCATTGCCTAGCCACAAAAAAAAAAAAAAAAGACTTGTATCTGCAGAGGCAGAATGGTGTAGTGGGCAGAGACCTAGCCTAGGAATCAGAAAGACTTGGATTCAAGTTCTGCCTCTGGCATATACTGGCTATGTGACCCTGGATAAATTACGTAGCCTCTTGGCCTCCAGGCAACTCTGTAAAATCCTGAAGCAGCACCAGATGAGAATGGGCACAAAGCTTACTCACAGGGAGTTCTCCTTCTTTGTCTAGACCAGGGCTTCTTAAACTTTTTCCACAGGCGACTCCTTTTTGCATTTCCACAGCATTTGTTGGCACTGCACGGCTTGAGGGCATGTGCAATGTAAAGTGGACATGCTTTGTGTTCAGAACCAAGGTTGAAGTGAAGTTGCACGATACAACACAGGCAAGCGCTGCCAATAACACTTCGAATTCATTTCCTGTTTGATTTTGAATTAATTTTTGGTTGTTGCACATTCAGAAACCTACTATTGCCAAATTTTTGGTATATGGGGTCGTGACCCACAGTTTAAGAAGCACTGGCTGTGATTTCATTTAACCAGGGGGCTTTCAAGCAAAGAAAATCCCCTTACTTCTTCTGTAATTCATAGCATTAGTTGCCTAGGGACGCTGAGAGATTACATGACTGACCCAGGGTCACACAGAAGGGACTTGAACCCAGGTCTAGCTCTAGATCTAATACCGCACAATGCCTCTCAGAGTTCCTTATGCCAATGAAATCACAGATTTGGTCCAAAATTTTTGAAAAAATATTATACACTAAGTTAAAAATACTAAGGTTTCATTTTGCCTTTGCCTAGAAATTTTGCAACTGTGGTTTATTTTTAGTAGGGAGTAGGCTCTGAGACATGACCCTACTTTAAGCACCACAACTATCTAGGTATCACTATACTCTAGCCAAGATTTGATTTGTCTTTTAGGAACAATGCATTAAAATCAGTGGAACTATTCTAAGTGTGCTTTACATTTATATAAATTTTTCATGATTATATTTTATCCTAAGTGCAGGCACAAGGGGATTAAGCCACTTATGGATCAATGAAAACTACACAAGAGCTGTTTTGACTGCTACACTTACACAGTTTGGAAGAGAGTTGAAGTGACAGGAATCCAGGGGTTACCTAATACTATATAAATATCAAAGGGTTAGGCAGGCACTGGTCTCTTACAAATGTACCGTTTAATCTCCTAAAGATGCCTGGCTTTTTTCATATTACGTAAGAGATCAAAAAGAGCCAGAACAGGCACAATTATTTAATGAGTATTAAAGTTCAGTTAAATTAGATATGTTGACTTTCCAAAAAGTCAGTTAAGAAAATCAGAAAATTCTCAACCATTGGAAGATTTCTACTCTGGGCACCAAGGCCTAACATAAAACAGGAACTGATGGTGTCTGAATACAGACTGAAGCATACTTACACATAATCTATATCGAATTGCTTGCCTTCTCAATGAGGGGGGAGGAAGGGAGAGAATTTGGAACTCAACATTTTAAAAACAAATGTTACAAATTGTTTTTACATGTAACTGGGGAAAAATAAAATTCTAAATTAAAAAAACAAAACGAAAAACAGAAAACACCACAGTTGATGGGGGAGGGCAAAAATCAAATGTTCAGGCCCTACCTACCTCATCCTCATAAACAGGAAGACTTTCCATTAAAATTGCATGAATTTTATTAATTTAGCAAATATTTATCTAGTGCTACAACTCACAAATGAACTGCTGTGTTAGTGCTAAAGAACTGCAAAGTACATACTACACCGTAAAAATGAAAGCACAATGCATTAACTCACTGCTTAAATATAAATTTTTTTTTTGCTTTTTTAAGGTTTAACCTGTCATGCAAATTGGTAGATGTAAATAAATTAAGTTAAAAAAAAAATCAGACTGAGAGTCAGTGAAAGTCCAGTGGTTCTAGGACATCACTAAAGATTCCAATTATCATCAACAGGAAATTATTATCAAACACCTGTTATTATGTGCTAGCACTGGTTATTTTTTCACATTAACTAAAATTATTACTACCAAATATATCTTTGCTATGACCCCAGGACATTTATTCATGAACTCACAGACTTGTAGAATTTTTGAGCTAGAAGAGGCTTTAGAGATTATCTAATCCAACCTTTCCTTTTAAAGATAAAGGACTGGAGAAAATTGGATGGGCTGGTTAATATTTCTACAGACTAACAAAACTTTTGAACCTGAATTTGAGGCTCATTAAATGGAGAATGACTTTTTATTGCTAATTTGTATTACTGAAAGAAAATCCTAATCTTCATTACTGCAATCTCTTTGGTCTGAGAGTTATCCCAAATTACTGTTCAAGGTTAGAATATGTGTCTCTAAAATAAATGGACTCTAAAGATTAAAAACATAGTATACTGTGTCATCACAGATACTGTTGCACACATTTATACTTCTGAAAGACCAGAGAGATATCTTTATGAAACAAGTTGATTGATACTCCAATTCATCCCCTTTGTGTCTAGGTTTCAACAACTATCATTTAAGGACAAATCACTAATCTGAACAATAAAGACTAGGGTAAGGCCCTAACCCATGCCTGGTACTGCCAGGATGATTTGATCAGTCAAGCCCACTTTGGCTACAACATGTTCCAAAACAGGAAGGGCTAACAGTGTACACACTGAGTCTAATGTTCTGAATTTGAAAATGTAGCATTCTAATTAAAAAGATTTTTTGCGTTTATTTTACCAAAGTCATCCTAATCCATAAACTACAATTAGAAGCAATCTTCTGCTGTCAATTTAACCAACAGTTACAGAACTTATTTGACGATTTAAAAACAGCACTGATAAGGTCAAATCTGAGCCATCTTACCATAAATGAGTATAAGGGATTTGAAGCTGCAAGAGACTTCAAAAACAATCTAGCTCAATTCTTTTTATACATTAGGAAACTAAGGTCCAGAGAAGTTAAATAACTTGCCCAAGGTTTAAACTCAAGTCCTTTGATTCCAAAATGACAGCACATTCCACTATGCCATCCACTACTTTCCTAAAGAAGATCTGGTAAAACTATAATAGAGATTTATAATGGCTTTGAGTCTAGTCTCTTCCATGTACTAGCTGAATGACCATCAGAAGATACAACCTCAATGAACTGTGTTTCCTCATCTGTAAAGTGGAAATAACACTAACTGTACCACTCATCCCACAAAGCTGTTATAGGAAAAACACTCCATAAACTGCAAAATGCTATAGCACAGTGTAAATAGTATTGGATTTGGAATCTGGTGATTTAGGTTAAAATCTCAGCTCTACCACTTAATGGCTATGTATCCTTGGCCAAATCATATCACCTTTCTGGGTCTCAGCTTACCTCGTTTGAAAATGAAATGGTTGGACAAGATGATTTCTAAGGTATTCCTACCTCTAAATCCTATGATTTATGGGTTATCTCCTTCATGAAATGTTATTACTTACCTAAAAAATTCTTAAAGGATTCAGATCTAGAAGGGACCTTAGAAAGCAACTAATCCAACCCCTTCAACCTGCAGATAAAAAATCTGAGGCCCATAAAGGTAAAGCAACCTAAGACCACCAAGGGTAGTAAATGACAAAGACTGGAACCCAGGTCTGCTAATTTCCAGGCTAGTGTTCCTTCTACTATCCCATGATGCTCCACATAGGAACTGTGAAGGTCTGAAATCGAAATTTGTGATGCTCCAATTAAGAGTATGGTGGTAGACTGTTGGGACACATTCTAAATAGATGGATACATTAAAGAAAGAAATGCAAGTAATTCAACAACGGATAAAAAAATAATATCCATGTGGAAAAGCATCAGAATTGTTCCTTTGTTGAGCCCTGAAAGCCTTTCACAACTTGGCTCCAATCTACCCTTTCCAGTTGTACACAATCTACAGTGCAGCTGATCTGACCTTCTTCTCCTCACCCATGACCCTCTATCTTATGCTTCCGTCTCTGCACAGCGTAGTTGTACCCCTACTCCTGAAATCCATTTCCTCCTTACTTCTACTTCACAGAATCTCTAGTTTCTTTAAGTTGACAAGCATTTATTCAAAGCTCAGCTCATGTGTCACCTTCTATATAAAGCCTTTTCTGATCCTTCCAGCTGCTAGTACCTTCCCCCAAATTACTCTGTATTTATTTCCCATATGTTGTGAAGAGACATATATGTACAAATTGTCTCCCTTGACTGAGTGAAAGCTCCTTGAAGGCAGGGACTGTTCATTTCTGTTTCTGTATTCCCAATGTCTGGCACATACTGGGCCCTAAATGTTTGCTGATTGACTGATTTCCAGTCCCCTGTCCTTTCCAATGTCTATGACTTCTCTATTTAGCCAATTTTCACTGACCAAGTTTTAATTCTAGCTTTAGGTTTGGTTAATCATGTGGGAACTGTCTCAGCATAGCATCATTATACTTCAGAAGAGAAGAGCCACCAGATGCTGAACATAAAACAGAACTGGATGTAGTCCTTCTATCCACCACATGATCTTATATTAATCAATAGTGGTATTATATTAATCAACAGCAACTCATCTATCTGCACTCTACGGTTTACAAAGCACTTCTCTTGCAACAACACTGTGAGGTAAGTAACACAAATATTCATAACTCAACTTTACATATGAGGAAACTCAGGCTCAGAGAGGTGAAATGACTTCTCTGAAATCACACAGAGGGTTAAACAGTGAGGCTAGACCTTGAACCCAAGGCTTCTGACTCCAAGTCTAGTGTTTTTTCCATAACATTTCAGTATCTCAGTCTACCATAATTCAGAATGTTCTCTCTGCACAGAGTCACTGGCCTTGGAATAGTTATAGGGCAATCAATTCCTTTAACACAATCTTAACAGATTTTAAATGGTTAAAACTACAGGTACAAGAAAGCACAACTTCAATTCCATTTTACACTTCCTAAATGTCTATTTTTCCACCTTTATAGGTAGGTTTTTAGAAACCTAGCCATTTCATGACTTTCACTACTGAGTATTTGCACCACTAATTATTCCACATGGAGTAACACTTAATATGCTAGGTATGTTAAGGCGAAAATTAAATTACAAGGTATAATTGAGAGTTTTACTTTAATGTGAAAAATTATTTCTGCTTTATATTCACCATGATAATATCACAGAAAACATTTTTACCCAGAAGCAACAGAAGCAGATGAAAGTGAGGTGACTCTATAACAAATGACTGAAGAGATACCTCCACATGGTATGAATTCAGTTGTTGTATACCTGCATCCCTGCTCAAAACATCAAAATGGCACTTCAACTTTAGCCCCATTTTGGTTTAAAGAAATAAGGATTTTTTTTTTTGCAAGGCAGTTGGGGTTAAGTGACTTGCCCAGAGTCACAGCTATTAAGTATCAAGTGATCAAGTATCTGAGGTCACATTTGAACTCAGGTCCTCCTGACTCCAGAGCCAGTGCTCTGTACACTGCGCCACCTAGCTGCCCCAAGAAATAAGGATTTTTAAACTCAATCCAAGTAGTTTGATCACTCAATCATAAAATCATAGGATTTAGGCCTAAAGGGACCTTAAATAATCATCTAGTTTAACTCTCTCATTCTACAAATTGGGAAACTGAGAGCTAGAGAGATTGGAGAGTGTCCAAAGTCATACTGCTAATAAATGAGAGAGCCTGGATGTGATCCCAGGTTCTCTTATGCCAAACAGTGTTTTTAAAAAATTACTGTATATCACATTGGTAAACAATAATAATCTAAATCAATTACTACCGTCAGAGCCCTTGCTAGGTTTTGTACAGAAAGAAAATGGAAAAGACAGTGATAACGTCTAATAAATATTCTGATTAATGAAGAATTTTTTATTGCCTCAAGTTTATTCATTTACATTCTATGGCTTCAGTGTCTCAATTTTCTCATCTATAAAATGGAAAAATTCTGAACAGAGAAACTGAGGAAGAGAATAGTGACTTCTCCAAGGCCAGCAGGTAGAACTGGGAGTAGAACACAAAATATTCTTAACTAGTTAATGTGTTGCTATGATTACAAGGCCACCCTTCTTCCTCCCACACAAGGGTAAAGTATCTTAGTGAAATCTTGTTTCTTTGTGATTTCAAACACTTGAATTTTGTATTTTTCTCCCAAGCTCAAACCTTCCAATACAAAGTAGCTTTCATTTATCCTAGAGCAGCTACTTAAAGAAACATTTTGGAGACAGCACAAAAAGAAAAAAGCCAGTAGCCCACACTTTTTAAGAATCAAGGATGAGAAAGATTGCCAAGGAAAATGCATGGCAGCATAAATGTAGGAAAACTGCATTTTTAAAATAAATATTGGGATTTCAAAATTAAAAAAAAAAAACGGAAATTGAAGGGATGCCCATCATCTGGAGAATGACTGAACAAGTTATGGTATATGAATGTAATAGAATACTATTGTGCTACAAGAAATGATGAGCAGGTAGACTTCAGAAAAACCTGGAAAGACTTGTACGGTTTGATGCTGAGTAAAGTGAGCAGAGCCAGGAGAATGTTGTAACCAGTAACAGCCACATTGTGTGATTACTAACTTCAATAAACTTAGCTCTTCTCAGCAATGCAAGGATCTAAGACATCTCCAAAAGTCTCATAATGGAAAATGCTATCCACATCCAGGGAAGGAACTATGGAGTCTAAATACAGATCAAAGCATACTATTTGCTCTTTTTTTTTCCCTCTGTTTTTTTTTCTTCTTTCTTATGGTTCTTCCTATTGATTCTAATTCTTCTTTAAAACATGACTAATGTGAAAATACGTTTAATAGGAATATATGTCCATATCAGATTGCACGCCATCTTGGGGAGAGAAGTGGGGAGGGAGGGGGAGAAAATTTAAAACTCAAAAGCTTATCAAAGTGAATGTTGAAAACTAAAAATAAATTAATGAAAAAAAAAAGAAAATGCATGGCAAAAGATTCATATTATCTAGGCATTAGACCCAATAAATTATTTAAACCCTAACAACAAAACTGAAGAATGAATCAGAGTCTACATATAGGACACTTTGTGCTAGGTCGTATAACCCCTAGTGATTTGTGGCTTAAGACTCAGTACTAAGACAGAACATAACATACTGACCTCTACAATGGTAAAATTCTAACTAGTAATACAAAATGTGTACCAATAGAGGGGGATCTGGTACCCCTTGTTGCCCCATGCTGTTCCCATAATCATCCCCGGGGGCAGCTAGTCATTACACTCTGTGATCACAAACAGCAGGTTCGGTAAGAAAGGCCCAGCAGTCTACAGATAAAAGGTCTGCAAACTCACTACTAGAGATTACATCCCAGAGAAGTCAAGGACTTTCCATTAAAATATGTTCTCTGGGTAGACATGAAGTAGCAGATTCTGAGATTTAGCAGAAATAATAATTAGAAGAGTCTCCTCAGGTTATTTTCTTAGTTCTACTGTTTTGCATTTTTACATAATTTATTCTCAACTCTGTCTACAATACTTACACCACTGATGCTCAGGATGCTTACTCCAGCCTGGAGTACTGTGCTTAATCAGAACAGCATCAACAATAAAAAATTGTAAATTATCACTCAGCTGGATGTTTCTCTAAATTGAACTAGAAAACAACTGGGGGGAAAAGGAGTTTAACTAAGGCTTAAAAGATTCAGAATGTTTCCATTCTGACTTAAGGACTCTTATTTTGTTTCAGAAGGAAGCAAGGAGTGTTACTCCAAACGGGAGTGCAATAGTGCAGCCGCTTCTTAAATGCCCTACCTCCAGTGATCACTGGTGGGTGGGTCCCAGGGCTCCAGCACATCATAATTTATTGCTGAATGCCCTGGCAGACAAATTAAAAGCACAATGGTCTACTCCTTTCTCTTTACACCACAATCTTTATACCAGAACAATGCATTCTGAATCAGAACTCGGAGACACAGGACATAATCAAATGCAAACCAGGCTGTCTTTTCTCCTTTCTTTTTTCCCCATAATGACAGGCTCCCATCCTCCCAATATTTGAAAAGTCTTCAAATCAAGGCACCATAGGGTAGATACACTTCTTCACTTTCCCTATGGGTGGGAGTATTAAAGAAGTCATGGCCATTGATTCTCCCAAATGACCTTTTTTTGTCAATTAGGAGAGCAATGCTTGCCTGAGAGTGAGAAACCAATGTAAAGTGAATAAATTGTGCAGCACTATATAACTAGCGATTTTAAAATTAACAAAAGAAAATTATTTATAGAACTAGCAATGTGTCCTTAAGTAAATAACTTCCCTAGACCTGGTTCTTCCTCTGTAAAATGAAGGTAGCTAGCACCACTATAAGACCTGACTTCAAATCCTTCCTCTGACACTGTATGACCCTATGCCTCACTTTCCTCATATGTAAAATGAGAGAGTTGGATTCCATAGCCTCTAAGGTCCCTTCCAGTGTTAAATCTATGATCCTGCAAGGTGGTTGGCCTAGAGCAGGGATTCTTCACCATTTTTTGACAGTGCGAAGCCTATGGACCCCTTGTCAGATTGTTTATAAATGTATAAAATAAAACATATAGTATTACGAAGAAAACCAATTGTAGTGAAATACAGTTATCAATTTAAAAAGAAAAAGTTCACAAAGCTCAGGGTAAGGACCTCTGGCCTTGAATGGAGATCCTGAGGATCCCCATGTCTTCTAACATTCCAGGAGTCTCTTGACTTTCATCCTGGGGTGGTGGGAGAAGTTAGGAATGAGTTGGAATGACTGATTTTTCGAGAGTGAGGGGTGTGGGCATGGAGTGCAGAGGGAGGGGCCACGGTGGCAGCCGTGGCCTCTCACAACATTTAGAACTTCTCCTAGGATGGGGAGAGGCCGGAATCAGGGACTCCAACTCAGGGATGGAAGGAGAAGGCCACCAGCAGGTGGAGGGCTGCTGGGGAAGGCGCCGGCCGGGCCACCGGGGCTCGGGGAGGAGGTCGAGGGCCAAGGGGGCCTACTCCGGGGCCTACAGCCGAGGGTGGGGAGTGGGACGTGCACACCCCAATCTGGGGAGCGGAGGGTGGGCACCAGGGTCGCGGGGAGGAAGGAATCGGGGACAAGAAGGCCTGGGCTGGGAGGGGAGGGACGTCCCACTGGGGTGGGGGCGAGATGGGGGAGTCCGAAGGAGGAGGAGGGGCCGGGGGAGGGGAGGAGTGGAGGAGGGGAGGCCGCAGGCTTCTTACAATAACAAGGCGCCGCCCTCGCCCAATCCTCGAGGCCGGCCCGTTGGGCTCCACAACCGCGGCTGCACTCACTCAGGCGGAGGGTCCGAAAGGGCCCCAGGCGGCGGCGGGTCGGCGCGTCTGTCTCTCGCTCGGTCCCGGCGGCCCCGCTCAGGCGCGTCCCTCCTCCGACCCAGCACCACCAGCAGCGCCTCCACTTCCGCTTCCCGCCTGCCACTCACGCAGATGGCGTCCGGAAGTCCCGCCTCCGTGTAATACTTCCATCAGATTTCCTTTCCTCCCCTCTTCCCCTCTGCGGTTTTTCTCCTCCCGCTTTTCCCACTCTCCTCCGCCCCTTTCTGCCTCCTTCCCTCCCATCTTTCTGTCCCTTCCCACAGCTCTTCTCCCATTCCTTCCTCCTCTCCCCTACAACTCTCTCCTCCTCCCTTTCTCGTCTTCATCCCTCTCCTTTGTCGTCCTCCCCAGTCTTCACTTCTTTCCTTCCCTTCCCCTCTCACCTCCCCTCCCCTGCTCTGCTCCTTCCCCTTCCATTCTCTCCTCTCTCCCTTCTGATTCTCTCTAACCTCCCTTTCTCCCCTTCTTTTCCTTCCTTCTCTCTCCGTCCTCTTACACCTCCTCTCCCCTGCTCTGCTCCTTCCCCTTCCATTCACTTCTCTCTTCCTTCTGATTCTCTCTA